ATGTTTAAAAAAAAAGTAAAGGACCCTCTCCAAGCTTTCAGACGTATTGGGCACATAGGGCTAGGCCTGTATTTTATATACCAAACAGCGCTCATATAGTAACATAAATTCAGTATTATGGGGGTCTCCGCAAGGAAGTTCTCAAGCCGGTTGCCTCGCGCTCTAAAGGTCCTGGGTTCTTTTCATGGCTGCGTCGTTCAGTTCACGAGTGCAATTTTTACGAAGATCCCCAAGGATCATCGCCGGAGCTATGGAGTTCCTTAAATGTGCGATGATCTGGGCAGGCGGCTAGCCGTTCGAGAAAGAGAGACCGAGCAATAAGAGAAAAAATCCGATCCAATTAAGTCGATTCTCTTGACTTGAAATTCAGTATTCATTGAACTCTGCAGCACCTATCGCGTCCGTCAGCTGATACACTATAAAACCGTCCCAGTACGGAAGGCCATTTTTAGTTTATTTTAAAGCTTCACCCTGGCTGTCGGGAGCCGCCGTGGTCAAGCGACTATACGCTCGCCTGCGGATCGGGCTGTCATGGGTTCGGTTCCTGGCGAGGGCCGGATTTTTTTTCAAAAATGACCATGGCTCCCAGGTTGACCAACCCTTGAGTGGGTACCAGGTACACTCATGGGAAGTAAAGGCGGCGTGATGCTGACCAAGTGCCATTGGTCTATAAAATATAGGTCTAGCTCTCTATACCCAACACGCCTGAAAGGTGTGGAAAAGGGTCCTCTACTTTTTTTTTTACCCTGGGGGCCCTAATATAACCGAACGATTGAATAAGGTTTTTGGGGACTTGTACCCGGGTGATTCTCATCTGAACTGTGGCCCTTTCTGTCACCGGTTGCTTACCGTTTGTTGTGCGGTCCTGGTGGGGGTCACTCACTCAACTGACACACCGGCTGTTCATCTGTGTCAATACTTTTTATTCACCAATAGGCCCACGTTTTGAGAGACTTATTGCCAACAGTTTGTATAGGGATCGACCTATCCCACATATATCGGCCTGACTAAGAATTTCGAGCTAGAGATTTGGAGGTCGATTTGCATGTCAAGCCGACTTGAACACTGCAATATATGGCGAATTTGTGTGTGTGTGTGTGTGTGTGTGTGTGTGTGTGTGTGTGTGTGTGTGTGTGTGTGGGGGGGGGGGGGAGAGGCTTTTTCTAGAAAAAAAGTGTCAGTGCTCACCACCAAGTGTCTTAAAAGTATGAGCTGGAACTCACCACACAGTGTCTAATAAGGTGCTAGTACTTATAATTAAAAAGTCTATAAAGGTGCTGGTACTCACCAAAAAAAGTCTAATAAAAGTGCCGGAACTCACCACAAAGTGTCTAAAAAGGTGCTGGTACTTATAATTAAAAGTCTAAAAAGGCGCAGTGTCTAATAAGGTGCAAGTACTTATAATTAAAAAGTCTATAAAGGTGCTGGTACTCACCAAAAAATGTCTAATAAAAGTGCCGGAACTCACCACAAAGTGTCTAAAAAGGTGCTGGTACTTATCATAAAAAGTCTAAAAAGGCGCTGGTACTCACCAAGAAGTGTCTAATAAAAGTGCTGGTACTCACCACAAAGTGTCTAGTACAGTACTGATGGGGAAAATTGCTGCATAAAACATTCAAGTAAAGCATTCAGTTGCAAATCTGTTCCCTTAGTAAAAATGAGAGAATGTGTGTGTGTGTGTGTGTGTGTGTGTGTGTGTATGCTTGCGAACGCGAGCTTGCCTAACCGTGTACGTACCTTGTTGCATTATAACAGACTACTTATTTAGTGAGTCGAATAATCAAATTAGTAAGAGACAGAGATAGGCACTCAGACATGCTGTGAGACATTTAGATAATTACACACACAGAGAAAGAGAGAGAAAGAGAGAGAGAGGGACAGACAGACAGACAGACAGACAGACAGACAGACAGACAGACAGACAGACAGACAGACAGACAGACAGACAGACAGACAGACAGACAGACAGACAGACAGACAGACAGACAGACAGACAGACAGACAGACAGACAGACAGACAGACAGACAGACAGACAGACAGACAGACAGACAGACAGACAGACAGACAGACAGACAGACAGTGACAGCTGCATTAGAAATATGGTTTACCCACTTTCCAGCCGAAAAAGTTGCCTGGGTTAACTCCTCAGAAAACGGCTGCATGACAATTTGCAGAATTGTCTGAAGGAAAGAAGACGAGTAATTGACATGGTCACCTCGTATATCAAAGCGTAGAATACGTGAAAGCATCAAAAACTAATTATTAACTTATATGGTAAATTGAATTTATGTGATTCATATAAAGTCATTTTAAAAGAAAAACATAGAAAAACTGTTGTTGTTGTTGTTTTTTTTTTCTTCCTAGGAAATTGAAGCCAAACCTTGGTTGTCATTACGGATGCTACGTCACGTACTTCCAGTACATTACGACATTGTTATGTATCCGGATTTTTACGAAGACCATGGCGACTTTTACGGCAACGAAACCATTGAAGTAATGTCTTGTTTATCTGTTTTTATGAAATTTATTTAAATAGAATTGAAATAAATAATAAGTAAATGGGGGTGGGGCGAATGGGCAAGGGGGGCTGCGTGATTTCGAGGCACGGTGTCCGACTCGATTGCTAGAGGTTCTGGGTTTAATCCCCGGTAAGAGCTAGGATTTTGTTTACGTGGACTTTAACTTCTAATAATTTCCCCTGTTCTCTGGGTAGTGAAATCGGACGCCCGTGTGCATTGTTACGCACGTACAAAATCCTTTGGCAGTTGGGAACCGAAAAGAGCAGCCTAAAGGCGCTGCCCGTGCAAAATGTGCAGTTAAAAATCTACCTAAAGTATTTCAGGATTTTTAAATAAAATTATCTTAACCCCAGGTCGACCAGCCAGAATGGTTACCAGGTAAATCATGGGAAGTAAAAGGCGGCATAGTATGGATCACGTCACCCATCTAGAACCAATTCTTCTGCTTTGTGTGTGTGTGTGTGTGTGTGTGTGTGTGTGTGTGTGTGTGTGTGTTTGTTGTCGTCTCACTGATAACCTGCTCAGTGTCGTGCTTTCCTGTATCTGTCTTGCGCTTCTTGGGCGGATTGGGCGATGGATTCGTTCATCTTGATGTCGGTTTCAGCTACACCCTATATCTATCTCTTTCTTGGTTTTCTCCTCGCCTTCTTCCCAGATGTTCTGCTATAAAAAAAAAATAAGTATCATATGCAGTTGAGCTATGGGGAACCATGAAGGCCTGTAGCTGACCTGCGAGTTTATAGAGACAATCCACCTGACAGTTTGAACAGATCATATGAAACCGAACGTTAAAAAAGAAAAAATACGAAACTTTCAAACAATGGAGTTTGGTTTGTGATTGAATATTGCAATAAATACCTTACATCTCTCACCCGCAAGTGACAAACACGTTACATAAAGACAATACTCATTACTGTTGTTAAGAGCTAGTTAATTATAACTTTCTAGAAGGTTCATCGGGGTATATGGGAATTTTCCCTGTTGGATTGTCATCCAGGATGTGATTATTTGAGTAGCAGGCGTTCCAAACCGTCAGGCTGAAGTCTGGTGAAAAAACACCTAGTCAATTTAATGGGAGGACAGCAGGGCTTTCGTCCCTAGGATAAAAAATGAGTGCTGATACTAACTACACAGTTTCTATAACAATGTTGGTACTCACAATACAGTTTCTATAAGGATGCTGGCACTCACAATACAGTTTCTATAACAATGTTGGCACTCACAATACAGTTTCTATAAGGATGCTGGCACTCACAATACAGTTTCTATAAGGATGCTGGCACTCACAATACAGTTTCTATAAGGATGCTGGTACTCACAATACAGTTTCTATAAGGATGCTGGCACTCACAATACAGTTTCTATAAGGATCCTGGCACTCACAATACAGTTTCTATAAGGATGCTGGCACTCACAATACAGTTTCTATAAGGATGCTGGCACTCACAATACAGTTTCTATAAGGATGCTGGCACTCACAATACAGTTTCTATAAGGATGCTGGCACTCACAATACAGTTTCTATAAGGATGCTGGCACTCACAATACAGTTTCTATAAGAATGCTGGCACTCACAATACAGTTTCTATAAGGATGCTGGCACTCACAATACAGTTTCTATAAGGATGCTGGCACTCACAATACAGTTTCTATAAGGATGCTGGTACTCACCACAGAGTGTCTGCTACCGGAGGGCTGAGAAAGATGATGCCTAAAAATGTGCCGGTATTGCGAACTGTTGCGTACCGCCAGAAAAATAGCCCTGGTGATAGCAAAGACAATAATAGCTATAATTTACTGTTTTATTACGTTACGATTTTTTTTAACATCAACAGTTGAAAAGTTACTTTTTCTTAAGGAATGCACGCCGAGTTACGTTGTTTAGAGTGATCTACGTCAACTGGACGTGTTTTAAATGGTTGCGTTCACGTGAAAAAGATTTTTTTTTAAAAAGTTGCCTAGTGATGACATGCCTGTGATTTAATTCATATCATTATACATTAGTCTTAAAAGTGCTCTTGACAGAGCTCATCAACAAATGTTACATCTCCCCCCGACACTTCACAAGGTGGAAGAGAAGAAGAAGATACAGTTGGGGGTAGGGGTGGCGAGGGGGGGGGGTTGTGACGAAAGGGTTTAGTTACTGCCCCCCGGTTCTGACAGAGGGACCGCCACATATAAATATTTAGAGGGCCAGCCACTTTTCCATAATTTTCTTGGGGGAAATGGGGGGGGGGGGGGGTCTCAGGGTGCACAGCAGTAAAAAATTTATTGTTTTTTTATTATTATTAGTATTGTTATTATTATCGTCTGCTGAATAGCAAAGAAGTGTATTATAATAATATTATTTTTGAAACAACCTAACAAATGTAGAAATATAAATATGTACACATGTAAAAACAAAAACTTACAAAGAAAACGGGAAGGTGGAGCCTAGACTCCTACCAAATGTTACAGAGCGGGGCAATGTGATCACACCCCTACCTTTAAAAAATTCAGGCTGGGGCGCTTATATCCCCACCCCCATTTTGGGGTTGGGGGTGGAGAGCTCAAGGAGCCTGAGCTCCCGTTTCCTGTGCCGCTGTGTTCTGAAGATTAAGATTTCAATTTTTTTTCTTACTATGCCTTTCGTCCGCGAATGCAAGTGTGTCGGAAATCGGGGGTGGGGCGGGGCGGGGGGGGGGGGTCACTGAATTTCGTGCTTTGTGCGAGACTCTGGCTCAGGTGACAGCCACTCTATAGAGAACCACTTGGAATAATATCAGGGCAAAGAATACGTTTTTCTCGCCTGTGTATACCATACCAGTGATCACGTGTAGTTTGACGGTAGAGTCAAGATTAGTTTCTAATTTCTTTTTATAGTCCATGCTGTGTCGGACTGGTAGCCATGTCTATCCGCAACCTTCTGTCTCGTGTAATTTCTATCAATTCTGACACATGATTGTCTATATCCTTAACACCAAACTGTTCAGCATTATCTGTCTCAGTCTCCTTCTGCCTCTTTCCCACTGTCACGATGTACTCCTGTTTTCTTTCTTCTCATGACATGACCAAATAATGCAGATTGTCTCCTTCTGGGATCTGATTCACGTCGTCTCATATTAAATATGGTCTGTTGTGTAGTGTTGTAAGAATTAAAATATGAAGCTTATGTAACTGTGTATGTCCTTCAGTGACCCATCGACATTGTGACCTGTCTGAAAGTCATTTTGTTTGTCAACCTTTACAATCAGTCACGGTCAGATTCGAGAACATGAAGTTTAGTCTAGGTTATTTTGAAAATAAAGCGGGGAAACTGCCGGAACAATTTGTCTTTCTATTTTATTTTATATCTTATAGTGTGGTATCGAACTAAAAAAACTGACTCATGACAAGATCTTTGAAGACTCACATGACTGGTTGATTTTATTGATTTTAACCCTACCGTTTTATAATATTTTACTATTTGTAATATAGTGTCCTCACCTCCTATTTCAGGATTAGTGCCGTTTTTTTTTTTTTGTTTTTTTGTTGTTGTTGTCAAAACGAGTTGTTATTGCGTACAAACAGTATTACCATTTGGAATTTAAAGTGTTGAGAATTTCTTGTTCGCATCTTCCTTATTCGCTAAGACAATAAAAGGGCATTGCTTTCAGAATACCCCCTTACACGTAGAACTTCAATGTTCTTTCTTTGAAAAAAAAAAAAAAAACTTGAAGTCAACGGACCGTTCGTTACATGTGTTGCACAATGACTGACTGACTTTCTACTTCACAAGAATATCACACAAACGATAAAAACCCGATGACACAAAGTGCCACCATGTGGATGAGGATCACCGTGGAGAGGTCCCAGAAACCGCGTTCAGACAATTGGCCATATTTATGGCCTGCCTATATTGCGGCCCCTGGTAAAACCCAGGGTGGAGCTTCAAAGAACAAAAAATATCGTCCTAAAAAGGACGCACTGATTCATATAATTATATTGCACAATAAAGCTTAGATATTTTTATTGCTAGAATTGCACGTTTAAATAAGGCTACAAATAATATATGCTTACGTTCGCAGAACGAAACAGGAAGTCCTTTGTTATTTAACCTGTAATGAATATGGTCTGACGTCATTTAAAGAATGCAAACCTCACATATCGCTTCGTGTTGCGGTCACCGTTGATTAGATTCAGTATAACTGTCTTAGTGGTTTATTCCTCATTATAGATAAATGTTAATTAACTTATATGGTCGATATTGTCCCTGAGACAGGAAATATTAGGCCTTCACATACTCTAGGCAACGATATCATGAGGTAGAATACCCATTATAGGTGCTGGAACCTTTGGGCGCTGACATATAGAGCCCCCCCCCCCGCCCACCCCCACCCAACGACAAGGGAGGGGGTGACTAAGTCCCCTTCCCGTTTAAATTTTTGGAAACAGACCCCTCCCCCACCCCGCCCCCACCACCACCATGTTTAGAAGTCCTATTTTTAAGCATGTGTTAATAGATTTCATATTTCATTTACATTATTTTTATTTACAATTTCTTTTGCAATTTAGCAATATATAATAATAAAATAATTTCACTATTATTTTATTATTACTATTATTATTAATATTGTTCCCAAAGACTTCTGCGCCTTGAGGCCCTTGCCCCTAGCCCCAGAAAATTGTAACGGGTCTGAATACCCCTTTCCTGTCCTAATTTTGTTTTTTCCATGCTGTTGTGACCGCTGCCTAATTCACTTTACAGAGAAATTTCCCGTCCCAGGCATGTTCCACAACTTTCTTAAAATATCCTGTACCCAGGCTAGGCATAATTTTTCCCCAAGTGATACTTAATAGACAAACTGTGGTTAGTACCGGCACCTTTTTTTTCTGATGGTTTGTGGCAAGTACTGTTACCTTTCAGCCCTGCCTGTACCTATGTTATGAGATTGAGTGAAACCATAAAACCCCACGAGTGAACGAGTAGGTGGAAGACACATAATCTAGTATAATCAAAGCATTTACCCCAGGCAATCGTCATGGTAGGCAAAACATTACATGTTTTCTGTCCTTATGGCAAAGCTGTTAAACCGTTTGCACCATGGTCTGAAGGTTGTGGGCAAGGTTTCGAACCCTGTTCTTTATCTCATGAGTACTGACGTTTTCTGTGGATGTCACTGAAGCTACGGTGTCGTTGTCCCAGGCAACTTTAAAGGTGTTTTCTTTACAGCTGAGTCTGCAGAAGTCCCGCTTCAGGGAACTATCTTGACTGTGCACACCAGGATACGCAGGGGTGAAAGGAGATGAAAGAGCCAACAGACTGGCCGTGTTAGCAGTGGCTAGTAAAAGCAGATACCCTAAAAGCTTCGCGCTGTCAGATCAAATATTCAAATATCACTTTGAATTCGCTGCTTATGCCCCCCCCCCCCTTTTTCCCTCATCCCTTCAAGGTGTGAAATGCGCAGTCTCCGCAAGGTCACAAACAACACTAGACGAGACAGAGTTACGAATACCTGCATTAGAGAGAACGTTGGAATCAGACCATGTCTGGGTTATATGGACAGGCAAAGAATGAAATGATTCGGCCATCTGAGAATGCAACCAGACCAGACTGCATGAGAGACTTTTTACAGAAGAACATCTGGGAGGAAGGCGAGAGGAAGACCAAGAAAGACATGGATGAATGGTGTAGATGAAACCTGCAAAAAGATGAACAAATCCATCACTTAAGTCACCCGAGAAGCGTAAGACAAATACAGAAAAACACAACACTGGGCTATAACCTGGTATCAGTGAGACGACAACAGAAGAAGAGTGTAAATAAATAAACCTGGACTCAGTCCCGGGCGGTAGATTCTCTCGGTATGATGCAAGTCTTAGAAATGCCGGTCCTAATAGATTCGCGCTGTCAGATCAAATGTTCAGTCTGTACTTTGATTTCGCTGTTTACCCCCAACCCCCTTTTTTCCCCTTTACTGTGTCGCCTTATGCGGTATAATCTCTGTATCAGGGCACGGTACGCCCTGCCAGGAGATACGGAATGCGTTGCTTTCCAGAGACACTGAGACAAAAGAGTCTGAGACAACGTTCCGCCTGTTAGAAACAGGCATGCAGAAACCGGCTGCAGGGAAAAGACACAAGATATGCCAATCAAATGTTGAAAATTAGGAATCGACATTATAGCACTCGGGACACCGCCATAAGCGCTTCCGTCCCCATCTTCAGCAGCAAACGAAGAGTTCCAATTCCGATGGCACGAGTAACTGTCTGATTGTACATCCGTCTCGCCCCTTCCATGAGTGTTGAGCGTCGACCAAATCCCCTGGTAACTCCTCCGTAATGATCTATTTGCGCTTCCGCACTGTTCACTCGCTTCCAGAGGGCCCTCACAACGGCTAGCCTGTCATACATCAATTCACCACAAAGTGGTGCAGAACCGATCAGTCTATCTGCCTGTTTATTTTCCAACACACTGAAATGTCCTGGAGAGAATATCCATAGGATGCTAACTACCCGAGACATCTGAAGTGATGCTTGCCACTCTGCACGGAGCATACCTGTCTCCACCTTTCTCAACATGCTCTGTGAGTCAGTGACAATCACGGCATGTGTGTACAGCTGATTCTCAAGCCAGCGGAAGGCAGCAGTGACTGTCTCCACCTCCATTCTCAGGCTAGGCGTTGTGATAAAAAAAGCAAGGCTTTGCTGCACAAAGCGACCTCTGTTTGACTTCGCTATTAACCCCCATGCACTTCGTCTGCCCCTCAACACAGAGCCATCTGTATAGACAATCACATCGCATCAATTAGGCGGGAATTGTCATGAATCATTTTTTTTTTAACATCTGATTCTGCAGCGCCAGCTGGCCAGTCCCTGCACTCACAACCCAAACTGATAAGAACCCTACACAAGTCTGGAACTTGCTAGGACACTTTGACCCACTCCTCACCTCGCACACGTTTATCAAGCCTGCACACATGTCTGATTGTGTCTTCAGCTTGGGCCCCTGGGTAACTTAGTTCAATAGCCCTGCTTCTCAGTTACTGGATGAAGTAAGACCAAACCTGCCTTAACAATCTTTAATAAAAACTTTTACAAATGATGGAACTATTAAGTAGAGTTATGCAAATAAAAACATCAAGTAACTAGCATACTCTACAAAAGTAGATCGCATAGAAACAATCGAACGATTCGAACATAGTCATTGTTAAAAAAATATTTATTTGCATTAGAGATGAGCAATATTATCAGTATAATTAATATAATCTGAAAATGATCAAACTAAAATATGAATATTGTCAGATCGAGAAAAGTAGTGTATTGGAAGTAGTAGCAGTAATAATATTAGTATTTGTGGTAGTAATAGTAGTAGCAGTGGTACCAGTAGTAGTAGTGGTGGTGGTGGCGGCGGTGGTATTAGTAGCAGCAGCAGTAATAGACACATAATTTGTTTTCTCCAATTGTATTGCAGTTGCTGTGATGATTGTGATGGTGGTGGTGGGAGGAAAGGGTGGGGGTCGGGGGGGGGGGGGGAATGTGAAGCCTAGTTCTTGAAAGATGAGGCAGGCATCGACCAACACGAAGGGGAATGCTAGATATAACAACGTCATGGAACTAACATAGCATAAGACAGAAAACCTGACGAAGAATCGAGTCTTTAGATCTGCCGTGGTGAGATGACCTGTCTGCAAAAGACCTGCTACGTTTTTTCCTCCTGTCAGCCCCCCCCCCTCCACCCCCCACTCCCCCTCTGAGCTGCTACTGAAGATTTGACGCCACAATATTACAAAATTCAATCTGTTGACCTGCCCACTCTACCTACAACTTTGGGGGGGGGGGGGGGGGGGGGGGGGGGGGGGAGCCTGCCTCAAAAGCAAAAGTCGCGGAGCAAGCTATGGGGGACCATGCAGGGCTTGCAACTGACATGCAAGTTCATAGAGGCAACCCACCTGATGGTCTGACCTGAGCATACGAAACCCATCGAAAAGAAGAAAAAAAAAAAAAACAATCTAGATTGCAGTCCAGCAGAGCAAAGCCCAAACACCCCTTTCAGTCTCTAAAGAAGTTATAATTCGGGCAAGCGTAGCGATTAAACAACCTTGGTATCGCATGCAGATCTATGCTGACTGAAGATGATAAAATGACATTTATGAATTTTTTTTAGGATTAAATCCAAAGTACTTTTCACGTCTAACTTCTCTTCGACAGCTCCAAGTCCTCAAAGCTACCAAATATTTCCTGGTTCACATCCACACAGCGTACCTCAACATTACCCAAACGGCTCTGGTTGACAACAGCACGGGACATCAGATTGACATCGTTCGTACATTCTACTATAGTCCGAATGAGTTCTTCGTTATTGAGGCCGCTCGTCCCGTGGATGAAGCTGTTAGATTGGTGCTTGGTTTCCAGGGTAGTTTAACCAAGGCCATCATGGGGATCTACAAGAGCACTTACTACAACACACAAACAAAAGTGGAAAGGTACACAAACTGTTCACGATTTTCCGTGGTCGTAGTTTGTCATGACTATCTTCCATTTTTTGTGTGTGTCAAGTGTGTCATAGTTGTCATAGTTCTTTTTAATGACCTTGGCTCTTAAGTCGACCCAGTCTTGAGTGGGCACCAGGTACAGTCCTGAGAAGTAAATGCGGCCGGCGTGATGCTGACCACGTCACCCACCAAATACCGTTTGGTCTATAAAACATAGGTTTAACCCTATACAACAATAATATGCTTGAAGGAATGGAAAGGGTTCCTTTTCTTTGCTTAACAATAGTTTGTCATGATTATCTCACATTTTCTGTGGTCATGAGTATCGCCATTGCAAATAACTGTTTAGTTCATAAATAAAACGGTTTTAGAACGCTGGGCTCTCAAGCGGGAGACGCGAGTTCGAATCCTCGTTAAAGCTTGTAATTTTTTCGGTCGGCTGCAAAATAAAATCCTCACCTGCACAGATGTTGCGACAGCACTAGCCATGCGGCCCTAAATTCTCAGGCTGAAAGACCCCCTGCCTACACAGCGAAAGTGGTATAATAAAGGCAGTTATTTGCAGTTATATTTTGCAGCCCTCAAGATTGTGACACCCCGTGCAGCTGTGCATGTTGCACAATGCCTAAATACGGTCTTGCATGAAGTGTTGCCATATATTGTATCTGACAAATCAGTACTCAATGACTGATGTGTTTAAAATCTAGTCGGTCTTATTTACTTCTAAGCTCGGGTACATTTAAAAAAAAAACGTACCTGATGGGATTTGAACCTGTGGCCAACGCGTCAGTAAGCTGACTAAAACCGCAGCTTCTAAATCGATAAAAGGACTAAAAATTAAAGTAAGATAAAAACCGCATTCTTTACACGTTAACAGGTGAATTAAACATAATGTGATAGCCACATATTTTAAACCAATTTGACTGACTTTACTTTCCATGTAATTTTCTAATGCCTAAGTTAGTCCAGTGGAAACCTGATGCAGTTTTTTAAAGCATAGCTAGTTATTGTCACAGTGCGGAAAAACCGACAGTAAGTGTTACAATGTAAGACACTTGTTGGTCAGACAAATAGTATAGCAGACAGACAAAGAGACTGATCCTGGGACAAGAAAGCAGACAACACACACGCAGACTGATATATATATCAGTTTGTAGTTTCATGGATAATTGTAACTGTTGATACATTTTCAGTTTCGTAAATAATTGTAACTGTTGATGCATTTTCAGTTTCGTGAATAATTGTAACTGTTGATGCATTTACAGTTTTGTGGATAATTGTAACTTCTTTGGAAATACAAAACAATAACAGAAAACTAGAGTGACGTGCAGTTGGATAGTTAGATAGACACATGGACAGTAAACAGATTTGTACGAACAAATAACAAGCAGTGAAGCAGACAAAAAGAGTTTGCAGAGGAACAGATACATTTGTATGCCATCGGAAGGGGAAGGTGGCGATTTACTTGGCACACCCTGAGGAGAATCAGACAAAGAATCCCCAAAACGTGCACTGAAATAGGAAATAAATTGGCTGAGGAAACTAGGACATTCAAAAGAAACCCCCAAGACAACCACTGATTAGAGAGGTCAAAGACACTGGACTAGATTACATCCATGATATCGAAAATAGTATGAGGTAAATTTTACCCCACCAGGACACCACACAGAGGAAATAGGAGACAAATAGTATAGCAGACAGACAAAGAGACTGATCCTGGGACAAGTAAGCAGACAGCACACACGCAGACTTGTATATATATATATATATATATATATATATATATATATATATATATATATATATATATATATATATATATATATATATATATAAAGTGAGAGGTGACACCAGGTGACACTAAGTGCCACCAGACGACCTTACATAAGTTTCTATCGAAAATAGTGCAGAAGATAGAACAGAATAGATGAATAAATATACTGCCAGCCTTGTGCGACATCTAAACGGTGTATCAGGGCGACAGTGATCATAATGTTCGCTATATCGAACGGACACACAGACAAACAGACATACAAACAGTACATTTTAAAACAATAACTTTGATTTCAGACAGATGGTGTCCTCCAAGTTTGAACCAACATACGCACGACAAGCTTTCCCCTGTTTCGATGAGCCCAACATTAAAGCTGAATTTACAGTAACATTGATACATAGAACAGGGTACACGGCTCTGTCCAACATGCCTCAGGATGGAAGTGTAAGTGGTACAACATCATTATCATCATCATTACCTCCTTAATCATTATCGTTATAATAATAATCATCATCATCACCTTCTTAATTATTATCATTATGATTATCATCATCATCAACATCACTTCCTTTATCACTATCATTATGATCATTATCATCATCACCTCATTAATCACTATCATTATGATTATTATCATCATCACCTCAATTATCCTTATCATTATGGTCATGGTCATCATCGTCACTACTGACTGGTTGAAACCTAAAGTATCGTGTTTGCAGTTTTGGAGTATATTAACTGCTTTTCTCAGTGTGTTTTATGTCAAGTGTTCTTAATTTCAGGGCCACATTTTATCTGGAAGTTTGTATATTTATTTATCCAACCTGCCGATTATAGATTCTGTTATATTATTTTTGTCCGTCTATTCTACTCTCATCTGCTGGTGGATTTAATTTGGACTTTTACTCGCGCATAAGCTTAAAACAACAACACACAAAAGCAGAGCAGTAGCCAAATCACTGTTTTAATGTTTTAATATTTATGTATGAAAGCTGCCGTGGTGACGAGGCTAGACGCTTGTCTGCGGATCCGAACGTCGTGGGTTCGGCCACCAAATAAAGGTGGCAGTTGACCATATTTTCAACTGAGTGCCGATTGGTCTATAAAATATAGGTTTCGATCTATGTGTCCAACAACTTTGTAAGCGTGGAAAAGTGTCCCTACTTGATATTTAATTATGTATGAATATTGGGGCGTAGACGTTGCGAGTCCGACTGGTAATTCCAATGCACCGTGATCGAAACCCACTGCTGACTGCGTGTATTTGTATCATGGTATGGAGTGTCGCAGGTTGACCCAGCTTAAAATGGGTACTAGGATGGCTGTCCTGGGGAAGTAAAGACGACCAGCGTAATGCGGACCACATTACTCACCTAGTGCTGTTTGATCTTTAAAAATATGGGTTCTTTTCCCATATGGTCGATGCGCCTTAAGGCATGAAAGGTGATCTTTAATTTTTATGAATATTGCCTTCCAGAATATATATTGCAGCCCTCCTTTTACCAAATGGCGGCAAGCTGTATCATAAATGATATAACATGATGAACAAATTTTAAAGTACTGTTGGACATTTGCAGATCTAGCAAAAAAGAAAGAAGAACTCAAGGATTCAAAAGACAGAAGTAGACCCTGGTTAATTTGTGTATTACGGATCAGAAAAGAGCAATAAAGGAGTTAAATCCTTGTTTTAATACAGTGATATTTGTGTACATGACAAAACAATGTGATGTTTGTGTTCGTGACACAACAATGTCATGTTTGAGAACCTGGCGAACGGATGTGATGTTTGTGTAGGTGAGAAAACAACGTGATGTTTGTGTACGTGACAAAACCATGTGATGTTTGTGCACTTGACAAAACACTCTGGTGTTTGTGTATGTTACAAAACCATGTGATGTTTGTGCACTTGACAAAACACTCTGATGTTTGTGCACGTGACAAAACAATGTGATGTTTGTGCACGTGACAAAAAATGTAATGTTTGTGCACGGGACACAACAATGTGATGTTTGTGCATGTGATAAAACTATGTGGTGTTTGTGCACGTGACAAACAATGTGATGTGTGTGTACGTGACAAAACAATGTGATGTTTGTGTAGGTGAGAAAACAATGTGATGTTTGTGTACGTGACAAAACCTTGTGATGTTTGTGCACTTGACAAAACACTCTGATGTTTGTGTACGTGACAAAACCATGTAATGTTTGTGCACTTGACAAAACACTCTGATGTTTGTGTACGTGACAAAACCATGTGATGTTTGTGCATGTGATAAAACAATGTGGTGTTTGTGCACGTGACAAAACAACGTGATGTGTGCACGTGACAAAACAATGTGATGTGTGTACGTGACAAAACAATGTGAAGTTTGTGTACGTGACAAAACAACGTGATGTTTATGTACGTGACAAAACAATGTGATGTTTGTGTACGTGACAAAACAACATGATGTTTGTGTACATGACAAAAGAACATGATGTTTGTGTACATGACAAAACAATGTGATGTTTGTGTACGTGACAAAACAATGTGATATTTGTGTACCTGACAAAACAATGTGATATTTATGTACATGAAAAAACTATGTGATGTTTGTGTATGTGACAAAACAGTGTGATATTTATGTATGTGACAAAACAATGTGATATTTGTGTACGTGACTAAACAATGTGTTGTTTGTGTATGTGACAAAACAACGTGATGTTTGTGCACGTGACAAAACAACGTGATGTTTATGTAAGTGACAAACAATATGATGTGTGTGTACATGACAAAACAATGTGATGTGTGTGTATGTGACAAAACAATGTTATGTCTGTGTACGTGACAAAACAACGTGATGTTTGTGTACGTGACAAAACAACATGATGTTTGTGTACATGGCAAAAGAACATGATGTTTGTGTACGTCACAAAACAATGTGATGTTTGTGTATGTGACAAAACAATGTGACGTTAGTGCACGCGACAAAACAATGTGATGTTTGTGTATCTGACAAAACAATGTGATATTTGTGTACGTGACAAAACAATGTGATGTGTGTGTGTACGTGACAAAACAATGTGATGTGTGTGTACGTGACAAAACAATGTGACGTTAGTGCACGCGACAAAACAACATGATGTTTGTGTACATGGCAAAAGAACATGATGTTTGTGGACGTCACAAAACAATGTGATGTGTGTGTACGTGACAAAACAATGTGATGTGTGTGTACGTAACAAAACAATGTGATGTTTGTACACGTAACAAAACAATGTGATGTTTGTACACGTGACAAAACAATGTGATGTTTGTGTACGTGACAAAACAAGGTGATGTTTGTGCATGTGACAAAACAACGTGATATTTATGTATGTGACAAACAATGTGATGTTTGTGTACGTGACAAAACTACGTAATGTTTGTGCACGTAACAAAACAATGTGATGTTTGTACACGTGACAAAACAATGTGATGTTTGTGTACGTGACAAATATATATGTACGTGACAAAACAATGGGATATTTGTGTACATGACAAAACAATGTGATGTGTATGTACGTGACAAAACAACGTGGTGTTTGTGTACATGACAAAACTATGTGATATTTGTGTACGTTACAAATCTATGTGATGTTTGCGTATGTGACAAAACAATGTGATATTTGTGTATGTGACAAAACAATATATGTTTGTGTACATGACAAAAGAACATGATGTGTGTGTACGTGACAAAACAATGTGATATTTATGTATGTGACCAAACAACGTGATGTTTGTGTACGTGACAAAACAATGTGATATTTGTGTACGTGACAAATCTATGTGATGTTTGTGTACGTGACAAAACAATGTGATATTTGTGTATGTGACAAAACAATATATGTTTGTGTACAGGTCAAAAGAACATGATGTGTGTGTACGTGACAAAACAATGTGATATTTATGTATGTGACAAAACAACATGATGTTTGTGTACGTGACAAAACAATGTGATATTCATGTCTGTGACAAAACAATGAGATGTTTGTGCACATGACAAAATAATGTAATGTTTGTGTACGTGACAAAACAATTTGATATTTATTTGGATGTGACAAAACAATGTGATGTTTGTGTAGGTGACAAAACAATCTTGTGCAACTGTAAATTTATTGCAGCCCGCCCCCCACCCGGGGATGCCAGACATGGTAGCAAGTAAATTTATGAGGTCAGTGAAAATGAGCACGTATTTGGTTTGCTTCATCGTCTGCGACTTCTTGTTTGTAGAGACCACTTCTACACGTGGCATACCAGTAAGTATTTGTATTACAATTAATTTTATTACATATAAATGTTGCACTAGTAAGAGTCATCACCATCATCATGTAGCAGGTGTAGAACCTCTCTCTCATCATAGTCTGTTTGAAATAAACTCGGTCTCTCACCAACTCTCACGCTTTGTGTGCTTTTCTACCCTGGGTGTCATTATATATCCTGAGCCCATCTTCGTGCTAGTTGGTCCATGACTATCTTTCCTAGTACCATCCCTTTTGCTATTATTCCTTCCAATCCACCGTGGGGCTTGATAGAACCAAAATAGTGCAATTTGTGAGACAAGATGCTCTTTACTAGCCAATATACCTTAATGTTCAGATTTTTTAGTGTGTCAGTATTTCCTTTTCTCTTTGTGCATGGTATTCTAAGAAACTTTCGGTGGCATTTCAACTGAAAAGCTCCCATATTCTCATCTAACCTGGCTAGTATCACTGAGATATAATAAAATGGTTTGCTCAGCTAGTGAGAACGTCATGTGATATTGTACTATACAAAGTATATACTATAAACAGAAGAGGTATGTAGATCTCCAATAAGACCAAGAACAAAGTAGAAAGATAACAGAAAAACTATAACAGTAGCAGGCATGTTATAAGTTAGTTATCATAATGACACTCCAGATATGTCCATAGATGCTCAGATTTTGCCAGTCTCCTCAACAACATTTGATGCACAAGAGACACTATAGACATCCTTCTAAGATGTACAAGAGACACCCCTGTAGTCTGTGTGCGATACATCCTTGTGCAGCCTACTGTTGCAGACAGGCTCAAAGTGCTGCAATCTAGATCATACCTGAAGCAGCCTCAGACAAAAACCACCTTCTCTATGAAGCCCTGGCTAACGCTAAGAGTTACAGGTCAATACAATGAATGTCTAGGATGGCACAAGCAGAAGACACAATTAGAAATGTGAGTATGCTTAGAAAAAAAATTGATGAGGAGAGCATTGGGTCAGAGAATCCAATCAATAATCAGACTTGTTTGCTATTCTGACCACATCAGACCGGAAGTGCTGTGATTTGCCAGCTGGCACTGCCGAATCAGAAAGTCAACAATTTATTCATGACACAATCACTCCTCCTCTTCCCCGCAAATGATGTTATTATCGGTACAGATGTAGAAGGAGTGCAAGTTCATGCTCAGAAGGAATGGATAACGCTTAGTGCAACAAAGCCTAACATATGATGCTACATCTAGTTTGAGAATGGAGCTTTCTACTGGCTTGAGTACAGTAGTACATATATTGTGATTGTAAACGAATCATAAAGCATGCAGAGAAAGGTAGAGACAGGCTTGCTTCATGTAGAGGGGAAAGCATCACTACAGAGGTCCTGGGTTTTGCAGGTGTATTGGAAAATGAACACGTGGACAGATTATCTGATTTTGCGCCACTGTAGGTGAACTGATGAATGACAAGTTGGATATGGTCAGAGCCATTTAGGAACAAGTGAAGGATGCTGAGGCGCGAATAGATCATTATGATTTGGAGAGAATGGTACAGCTCGGATAATCTTATCGATAATCTACACTTAGAGGAAAGGCAAGATGGACATGTTAACAAACTGCTATTGGCACCATCGGAACTAAAACTCTTCACCGATTGCTTAAGATAAGGATGGAGCGATTATGAGAATGTCCTGAGTGCTGTGATGTCAATTCTTTACTCAACTCAACTCCCCTTAACATAGACATGAGCCTCATGCAGCTTATACACTGCTGCCAGTTGTATACAGGTTCTGATTGACAAAACTTCTCATCGTCTGATATGCTCTCCTATTTGTCTGTGCTGTTCTTTACTGACATCTCTCTCATTCTCGATAGCTTGTGTCTGTGGTAAACAAACACAGCGAAGAAATAGGAGAAGAGGGATAATAGGGGGAAAAGGAGGATAATAGGTGGAGAAAGAGAATAACAATAATCATAAGGAGGAGGAGGAGGATAAAGAAAAGTGAAGGAAGAAGATAAGGAAGAAGGCGATTAAGAAGAACAACAATAGGTTTTGTGTTTTACTCATTAACGCAAACATTACTCCACTGCTGAGAAAGCAAATGTTTTACACCATAATGCACAGGACTTTAAGTAAATGAACACAAGAAGGTATAATATTTTTTTTTTTGACTGTAAAAAAACCAAAAACTTCACATACCAATGATAAAACGTGCCGGCTTAACACACACACACACACAATAAGGTTCTATCCCAATATCTTCCCCCAAACAGACAGTTGAATATTTTAGGGGGCGGTAAATAGGCTGCATGCAGTCGAGGGGCCTAGGCTGCATGCAGTCGTGGGACCTAGACTGCACTCTCTCATGGGATGTAGGTCGATTGGGGTTAGACACAGTTCTAGATGTTTTGGGTCAGTTAAAAGCATCAGAAAACTGAGTAACCTACTCCTACCACCTTTGAAAATATTGGACTGTCCTGAGACGTCATCCTGGGGGGAGGGAGGGGGGGGGTGGAGAGATATTGAGAAAGCACCCAAAATTATTATATTTTATTTGGACAGGTTCGTGTTTACGCAACCCCAGATAAGATCAACCAAACCCAGTATGCTCTGGAGATTGCTAAACACACTCTTGATTACTATGAAATCTTATTCAATATGACTTACCCTTTGCCGAAACAAGGTGAGAAAAAGCATATATTTGTACCCTTTGTATTGCAAGTAGATGGTGCATTGACATAATACACCATATGCATATATTTGTACTCTTTGTATTGCAAGTAGATGGTGTATAGACATAATACATGTTTAATTCTTTCAGTTCCAGATTTCCTAAAAAAAGGCGATCCAGAGGTAACAGTAACTACAGTGGGGGAAAGGGGGGAGGTGGGGAACAGTTTATTACTTTCAACTGGAGACTTTGAAAAAGAACCAGTTTATTACTTTCAACCTGCGACGTTTGATGTGATTTACAATCAGCTAGCTAGCCAGATTTTTTAGATTGTGTTGACAAAATCCAAATGAAAAGGAGAAAATACGCACCATGTGGTGTTTAATAACGATAGATAATAGTTGATCATGCATTGTGCTTTTTTGGGACAAAAATAGTTTCACTGTCACCACCAGAATATCAACATCATCATTATTATCATTACCACGTTTTTTTACAGAACTTTGCTCCCAACACAGCTCACAGGAGGTTGTGGCTAAACAGTTAAACCATTTGTCTCGCTCTTTGAACGTTGCTGGCTTGTTTCATGAAGTGCTTTATTGGATTCATGAGTATGTTTTATGAACATTCATGTTGATTGCCGCCTGAGCTGTGGAGTTAGCTTTTGTCCTACTCTCTAGGCTGGTGGCTATTCATTCTGTTAATAGAGATCAAGCTATACGGGATACAATTCGATGATGTTGACTTTAAACCGCCTTACTTCACATAACATTTTCTTTTAAAGTAAGTAGACCCGAGGGCCAAATCAGTTATAACAAAATCCACCCGATGCAAAACTTGAACTCATGAACCTGTTTTCTAGTAGGTAAACAGTTAACTAATACACCATGTGGCTTAGTTATATAATAAGGAGTAATCGTATAACTTTTTGGTATACTTTAAAAAAATTTAAACGTGATAAGCAAAAGCAAAGATATCGACTTCAGTTCATTTTTTTAGTGACATAAATGTTAGCTATATGGGTGTCGGAACCTATGGGCGTGGCATCTATCTCCCACTATCTGCTCTATAAAGTAATTGCAAATCTCATATAAATGTGATATACTGGCAATTAATTGGTATACACACGCGCACACACACACACATACTCACACACGCACACATACTCACAAACACACACCCCCATGACCTGTAAGCAGCACAAGAAAATGATGATGACATATATATTTATAAATTCCAGATCTGATCGCCATTCCTGACTTTGTTTCTGGTGCCATGGAGCACTGGGGCCTGATCACCTTCAGAGAAAGCAATCTGCTCTATGACCCAAATCGGACCTCACTGTCGAGTCTGGAGCATGTGGCGCTCGTTGTGGCTCATGAAATGGCGCATCAGGTTAATGTAGCATCTGTGACAAAGTGGCTTCTTCTTTCTTTCTTTCTCCTTGTTCCATTCCAGTGGATCGATCAACAGACCAACAAGACAGATCCCAGATACGTCGTTCAACCTCCAAATAATTATAATAGAGGCACCAAAAACGGTACCACCAGCCAGGTGTTGTTTGTAGTCCTATGGGGTATGGACTTATCCAATGTGTTTGTCCTTGACTTTGATGTCAGTGTATCCAGATTCGACATACACATGAGTGTGCGTGTTTTTGTGTTTGTATGAGAGAGAGAGAGAGAGAGAGAGAGGGGGGGGGGGGGGGGTAATGAGAGATGGAGTGACATAGAAATGCAAAGAAACATGCAGCGTGTGACAATGGAGTCACAGAGCAAAGCAGAGATAGGGGGCAACAGAGAGACAAATGAAAACTGAGACAGGGACAGATAGAGAATAATGGTGTACGGATGAAAGACCGAGACCTTAAGAGACAGAGACACATGAAGACTGAATGACAGACTGATAGACAGATTGAAAGACTGACTGAGACATAATGAGAGTTAGAAGAAGACTGAGTGACAGACTGATAGACAGATTGAAAGACTGACTGAGACATATTGAGAGTTAGATGAAGACACAGACAGACTTATAGACAGAGGGGAAGACTGGCTGAGACATACAGGTAAAGAGAGTCAGATAAAGACAGACAGACTTATAGATAGCATGGAAGAATGACTTAGGCATACAGAAAGACACAGACAAACGGAGAGAGACAAAGAGAGAAAGAAAGAGCTGGGAGAGAAGAAGAGACATAGGGAGTAAAGTAAAGATAACAGACTGGGACTCACAGAAGATACATAAAGCTACACAGAGTGGAGAGAGGTGTGAGAAACAGAGTAAGCGGAAAGAGAGTTAGAGAGAGAGTGAGAGATAGGGACGAGAGAAGAACAAAAGATGAAGAGCGAGAGAAGATAATATATATGTAGCTGAAGAAATAATGATCATGTACTGACTGACCTCACACAACAGTGGTTCGGAAACATCGTCACTATGGACTGGTGGAATGATCTATGGCTGAACGAAGGTTTTGCCAGCTTTATGGAGTACGTTGGTGTCGCTGATAAAGAGAGAGACTGGAATATGGTAAGATTATCAAATATTTGACAAAAACTTCAATCATCATTATCATCAGATTCATCATCACCAATTTCATCATCAAAATTATCATCACCTGAATCATCATCACCCTGTGTGGTACAGGGCCCCATTTGGGGGGGGGGGCACATTTGACTCCTGCAATCATTTATTGCCCTGGTCAGCCTTTCTGGAATATTTTCTTTGAAATGTATATAACAAGTGGTTTTTATAAGCTTGTACTACAAAATAAACAGTTATGTATACCTGAGCCTACATGTATAGTAAAATGGCTTTCCAAAAACTAAACTGGAAGGAGAAACGAACAGCCGTAAATCTATATCCAAGAGCATATTAACATACACAGGAATTAAGAACATGAATAATTAGTTGTATCTATTTTCCACAGGGTTCAGGGACTGTCACGTAACATGATAAGTTAACAACTCCATCCCCATGTGGGACAAATTTTTCGTTATTTTGGAACCCCACTCTGGCTGTTGCTAGGGGCCCTAATATAGACCTAAATATGGGTTGAACAGAGTTTCTGGGACTTAACGGGTGATCCTCATCCGAATGATGACACTTTGTGTCGCCGGGTGTTTATCGCTCAGTGTGATGTCCTAGTGGGGTTGAACATCAAGCAGTCCACGTAACATCACAGTCACCCGATGATCATTGATTCTGATAACAATCCAACAACAGATAACTATCTACTTCAAAAGTTGAAATACTTGTTTTATTTGTGGTTCCGAACATGTAACTTTAAGTTTTGACAACATAATGACTAAGTGAGCCACAGTTTGGAAGCCAGTCTAAAAGGACAGACTCCAACGCCTTTTCTACCTCAGAAGGGAATAATTAGATATGATTTGGTGACAGTTAGGCCAGTTCCAGCACCAAAATGATTTTCTTTCATGTGTATTCTAATTTTTTTCAAGGAAAACATGATACTCGTCAATGACCTGTTTCCGGTAATGAAAGAGGACAGTGAACTTTCATCACATCCAATCATTGTGGAAGTCACCAGGCCAAGCGAGATAACTTCTGTGTTTGATTCCATCTCCTACTCAAAGGTAACTAAAGGTCCATAACTGATGTAAAATATTTAACCGGGAAGGTGGGGGTAACAGACCCTTTTTTTCATCAATAAAACATTGAGCCTGTGAGGCTAAATTCGTATTTTTTATAGACGAATCGGTACTAGGTGTGTATTGGGGTCAACATCCTGCCGGTCACCTTCACTTCCCTGGTCATTATTACTCGTACTTTTTTCAGACTGGGTTTATCTGACATTCAAGATCAATCAACACTTGATGGGGATTTGAATCCCAGAGCGGAGACAAGTTCACACAACAAGATCGGTTATGTTCATAATTTGTTTTATCGTTAATTGTCACTTGTACCAGATTTCGTCCATAGTTTCTGATGTCAGCAACAATGAAAGAGGACAGGAACTTTCTTTGCATCAGTCATTGGAAAAGGGAAATGTGTAGACTAAAGAAATCTGGTACAAGTTAGCAGACAGTCTATAAGACTCACCCACATTAGACTTTAAACCATTTTGTGGTGCACTAGAAAAACTGTGCTATATGACTACACAGTTTAATATGGTTTCCTCAATTTATACTGGTTTTATTTTCCCCCTTGAGATGTTAATCTCCCACACTGGACTACAAGTTGCTCCATAATCGTTTTGTGGTGCCACAATATAACTATGCTATATGGCTGTAGGGTTTAACAGGGTTTCTGGGATTTTGTACCTGATATCTTTGTGTCGCTCTTCTTCAAGCAAAACAGAAAATGATTTACTGCATTTGAATCCCTATTTTATGTTATCAGTGTCAAACATGGATAGGGCACTAGAACAGAAAATCACTTTATGGGAAATGCGCTGTCTCCGCAAGGTTAATAACAACTCATGAAGGGTCAGGATTACGAATACCAGTATTAGAGAAAATGTTGGAATAAGACTGTGTCTGGATTATATTGTCAAACAAAGAATGAAAAAGTTTCAGCCATCTAGTGAGAATGGAGCCAGAACAAACTGCATATGAGACCTTTTACATCAGAACATCAGGGAGGAAAGCAAAAGAAAGACCAAGAAAGAGATGGATAAATGGTGTGGCTGCAACCTGCAAAATGTTAAGCAAATCCACCACCCAAGCCACCAGAGAAATGCAAGACAAATACAGTAAACCCTCGAGACTAGGCTACAATCTGGTATCAGTAAGAGAAAACAAAAGAAGAAGAAGTACCTTTTTGACTTTCCTTCTTGATATGTTAATCCTACAGACTGCAATTCTGGAGGTTTGTAGAGAATGTGAATTAATAACACACTGACTGTTCTCTAGCCTTGTCACCAAATTGTACCTTTCTTTATACTGTTCTTCTTCTCTCCTTCCTGTTACCTCACTGAGTTGTTCGCTGGAGATGTTCGTATCTTTGTACGCTCTTTCTAATGTGCTGTATTAGGTGGCTGCTCTTGTTGTTGCTGATCCATCTTTATTGGGATCTTCTCTGTGCTCTTAGTTTATCATATTTCTTCAAAATGCCACTTTGTGGTGGCAAGAGGCCATTCTCACCAGATGGACTGACTATCTCTATGTTGCTCTTCATAAATTTTATGAGTATTTTTAGCCTTGTTTCTACTTTCTTCATTTGTTTCTTCTTGGTACTCTGACAGCACTGCCTCAAATGCCTTAGACTAGCGGTTTTTCAACCTATGGGTCGCGACCCACAATATGAGGAATTGTGTTAAAGGGTCACAGCCTTATTAGGAAGGTTGAGAACCATTGTAATAGACACTTCATCTCTATTATGATTTTCTACTCACTGGTTGTCATAAAGGTCCATGTTTTGATACTGAAAGCATAAGGTCAGCAAAACATGACAGGATTAACCTGTTATTATTGCAGGAAGACAACTATAAGAACACTATGGAAACAGAATATTTTAGCTCTATCCAAACCCAAAAACTGTTTTGAGTACTTTTTGGCAAAGTAAAATACTCAAAATTTTAAAATTATAAATGGTGGTCCAAAAAATGTTATGTTGAGAAGCTCGGTTTTCTACCAAATACGCCTGGCCAAATCAGAAGGAGCTGAAACCAAGGAGGAAACATCAGAAATGAAAGGGCAAGAAGATCACAGTTGACAACAGGATAGGGAATGAGCGGTCTGACTTGGAGGAAAGAAGCATTAAGCACAGAGACAGCGCAAATACCAGACCTTTAGCCACGTAAGTGGCGCAAATAAACAAGACCACAAATATAGCCGGAGACTGTTGGCAGCTTCGGCTAGGTAGCAGCAGGTTGAACGTGGTTTTTTATTTTTTTTTTAGGAATTGAAATTGGAAACTCTCTATCTCCATGTGCGATGTGTTTTTCATTACTGTGATTCCCCCCCAACCCTGGTTGTTGCTGGGGGCCCTAATGTAACCTAACGGTTGTATCCTCATCCGAATAGTTGCACTTTGTGTCAGCGGGTGTTTATAGCTTGGTGTATGTCTGGTGGGGTTAAAATTTAATCAATCAATCAACAATAGTTGTTTTTAGGATGTTTTAATATGCATCCCAAAAAAGCTGATTTAATTTTGTTTAATGGCCTAAACAAGATGAATATTTTCCACAGGGCTCCTCTATTATCAGAATGTTGGAACACATCATGGGAAAAGATCAGTTTTTTGGTGGAGTTGCAGTAAGTAGTATGTGTGGTGTGTGTGTGCTCGTGTGTTCAAAGCTGGTGCATGTTCAGTAATGTGTAAAGCTTACCCAGCATATGATTCTAGACTCACTGGAGGGCAAATGAGTAGAAGATCATATTTGCATATCCTTTTCTAAATAGCAACTCTAGCATTTATTTGTTGTTTTACTAGGCTTTAGATACATTCAGTAGTTTGTGACTGTTTTCTGTTGTCATAAGATTTATATTATCATACTCCCATGGGGGTTCTGGGGCTCCATATTGGAGAATAAGAGATAGATCCACTGCCCCCTTCCCACCCTCGCCCCTTTCCCTAACAAGAATAATGTTTGCGATCACTAATTAGGGGTGTTTGCCTCAGACGGAGTGCATCTGACTGATAGGCTAGGAATCATCCATCGGTTTTTTCATTTAAAAAAAATAGCATCACATTCGACCCCCATTCCAAAGGGGGGAGCTTTTGGTTATAATTGTGACTTAGATTATTGGCGCCATTTAAAATGGCTTAATATTGCTTGCCACTAAATAGCCCTGAAAAAGACTCTAGCAGTGTTGATGCGATCGAGGGAGACAGACCCAAATACTGACCAGACCGGCCATAATGTTGTCTACTGGCTAGCCAGTGGATGACCCGGTCACTGATCGCTGATCTGTGCATACACATATGTTAGATCTGTAAAAGGGATGGGCACGAGAAAAAAGTTCTGGATGAAGATCATAGTTTATTATTGGACAAACATCCAGGATTTTCCATCGCAGTTTACAGCTGGTGAATATGAAGAAGATTAGGAAATTATGCTATTGTTCAAAACCTCATCAGTTGTTGCACTTGTACTAACATTCAATGTGACAGCAATTTCTTAACACATCTCATTTTGCTGTTCAAATTTCAGGCATATCTTACAAAATTTAAATGGAGCAATGCAGTAACTGATGACCTGTGGGCAGCTCTTTCAGAGGCAAGTTGTAGTTGGGACTATATTTGTGAAGATAATAGCTCCAATGTCAAACTGAAAGGAAATTTGTTGAAGTTCTAAATGTTAGGAGTCATCATCATCGCCATTGTCATTATCTCATCAGTTTTCACTTTCACCGTTAAGCGTGGAGAGGAACAGTGTGCAATCCATTGCTTGGTGGGCAGCAATGGCAATTGTCATTCCAAGTCGAAGCAGAAGATCTTTGATGACATCAATCCATATTTTCCTAGAGCAGCCTCTTGCTTTTACCACAGATCTGTTCATGTGTAGCCCCTGCATTGGTAGTTGTTCTAGCTGCATTCTTACTAGATGACCAAACCATTTGATCTTCTTTTTCTCAGTCATTTCTAACTTTGTATCGGATGGTTAAGTTGGCGGCTTTTCTAAGCCATGTCATTTCACAGTTAATTTTACATAGGTTAGCCTTTGTTAGCGTCCAAGTCTTGCACTGGTAGCACAGTGTTGGTACATTGTTTGTAGTCTGTTTCTTGGCGCTCATACTTATGTTTGGATGCCTTAAAAACAGTGTCAGTTGATATATAAGTGCACTGACACGTTGGCATCTTTTTTTTTTTTCCTAATCTATTCTCCTGTCCTCCGAGAATATGCTTCCTAGAAATTTAGATTCTTTAACTTGCTTCAGAAAAGTACCATGCACTCCGATATATAGTGGACTAGGAATTCCACTGACCTGTCTTACTTCAGTTCTAATAGTATTTATTTTCATGTTATATCTTCTGTGTGTTGAACTTAACCTGTTCGAATGTTCTTGCAATCTAATCCCCTCATTGCAGAACAGGCACTGATCGTCTGCATATAGTAGCTCATTTATTGTATGTGGAAAGTTAATGTTCTGATTTTCTGGATTTATAGGTCAACTGTTTTAAAGCTGGCTTCTTTTGATATTCTGTCTCTGTATTTAGTAAATAAGAAAAGAGACAGCACACACTCCTGCCTCACCTCCATATTGATTGTAAACATAAAATATATTTCTTATTGTGTTCTTACTGCGCTTTGGGAAATGTGATACATAGCCACGATGTTATTTTAGCAATTGTCCTTGAATCATGTAATCTTCAAGAATAGTCCATAGTTTGTTTCTGTCTACTCTATCAACAGCTTTTTGCTGATCTACAAACACAAAATTCAGTTCATAATTTTCTTCAACGGTTATCTTGTTAAATAAGAGTAAATACTGATATTATTGACTGCATGTATTTTTTGTGCCTATGACCCTGAACATTGTAAAGAACTCAGCTAATATATGACAAAACAATTTAATTCCAAGCATTCTTTTGTCTTTAAGACAATAAGACTGTCGATATTCTAATCAGTTTACATTTATTGAGTGCTAATGGAAATCATATTTGGCATTTTGAGTTTGTTGGTAATAGATATTTGACACAGTTAATATACATTTAAATAAAAACAGTTTAAAGGTAAACATGAAAAATGCAAGCAAACATGGATGCCAGTCACATGATGTAATGACATAGAAGGGATAAATAACAAAAACATATGGTGAGCAAAACATCCTTCTTTCCATATTCCCTCTCCTAGCTGCTATCCAAAGGTTTAACCACTCTGAAATTACAAAATCTCAACTCAAATGGCAGGCCAAAAGGGCAAATCCTGGATACATTGTCCAACCTAAAAAAAAATTAGAATTTGGGCACATTTAAAGGTTACACCAGTCTTGTCTATTCCCACATTCTATCAGCTACTAGTAATTTCTCAGCCATGTCACCCAGTTTTGTGAGATGTACGATTTAGATTTCAGACCCAGGGTCCTGGCTTTGAATCCTACTGAGTTGTATTTTCGCTTCTTCAAAAAAATGACATTAGCTCCCAGATCAGCCTAGCCTAAAATGACATTGACTCCCAGATCAGCCTAGCCTAAAATGACATTGACTCCCAGATCAGTCTAGTCTGAAATGATATTGGCTTCCAGATGAGCCTAGCCTAAAATGACATTGGCTCCCAGATCACCCTAACCTAAAATGGGTACAGGTAAAGTCCTGGGTAGTATAGATGATCATCGTGGTGCTGACAATGATACTCACTGAGGGCTGATTGGTCTTCTTCTTCTTGTTGTACACCACCAGGTCATCACACAAGTGATAAACACCTGGTGACACAAAGTGCCACCATGCAGATGAGGATCACCCATAGAGAGGTCCCAGAAACCCCTTTAGGTGTTAGGCCATATTTATGGCCAGCCTATATTCAGGGCCTCTGGCAAAAGCCAGAGTGGGGCTTCAAATAACGAAAAATTGCATCCCACATGGGGGTGACTATATCTGTTATATGGCTGATTGATCTATTTAAATATGTGTTCAGAATCAAATGCTAAAAGGGGCTCTGGGACACACACAACAATCTTTTACTGTTAAAAAACAAATTAGATTAAATGAAATGCAAATGCTTACAGTACTGAGGTTTGAATCTATGACAAATGTATTTGTTGCCTACTTGCACTAGACCATCACATATTTACTTTACAGTACGACACTGAAAAGAACATTAAGCACATCATGGACACATGGACAATTCAGGATGGTTTCCCTTTTGTGAACATAACTTTAGAGACTTCCTTATCAGGTGTTACAACTGTTACTGCCAAGCAGAAGAGGTTCATGTCAAACCCAAATGCAGTAGTGAACCCGTCATCTTCACCACTGGGGTAAGGCAAGAGACTAGTTAAAGAAGACAATGAAGCAATAGGCAAAACTATATATATATATATATATATATATATTTGTTTTACAATTGTTACCTATTTTTGGAAGTCACCATGGTGTAATGGCTAGACTCTAACCTGTGGATCTGAAGGTCGTGGGTTCAAATCCTAATGGAGCCAGACTTAAAAAAAAGAAAAATTACGTTGATCCCAGGTCAGTCTAGCTTTTAACAGGTACCAGGCAAAGTTCTAAGAAGTAAAGGTGCCCGTTGTGATGTTGACCCTCCGAGTGTTGACTGGTCTATAAAATTTAGGTCTAGCACTATATGCCTAGTAAGCCTTCAAACATGAAAAAGGCTCCTTTTTACTATTTTTACCCGTTTTTGTTTTTAATTATCTCCCTTCACACTCCAGGTTCTTCTTCTTCTTCTGCTTCTTCTTTTCTTCTTCTTCTTCTTCTTCTTCTTCTTCTTCTTCTTCTTCTTCTTCTTCTTCTTCTTCTTCTTCTTCTTCGCATTCACCGGCTGTAAACTCTGGCGAAAAGTTATGTTTGTTCATCCACCTCTGGACTATAGACTTATACCAGAACCTGAGTGTTGCGTGCACATTCATTTTATCAACCACAACACAATGCCTTGGCGACCATCTCAAAGGTGAAGATGTGTTGAAAAATGTACAGAATCGAAGGAAGCCAATAAAACCATCTTTCCTCCTCTTCTTCTTAGGTTTCAATAGCTGTAAACCCAGGAAAACCACATCTGCTTTATAGATCTGGCTTACTTGTATGCAGACTGTTTGTTCCTCACCTCGCAGTCAGATGCATTCTGACTTAAAAAAAAAAAATTCTTACTTCACCATTTACGACATGCGGCAGGTCTACCTGCCTTTTGCTCACTTGCCTACAATTTTTCTCTTGTAAATCCTTTTTTTAAGAGTGTTATGTCTTTTAATATGGACAAAATATTCAAATTATCATTTTTTTCATTTCCTTTATCAACTAGTGGAGGTAATTGCTTTGAGACAACTTTTCTTTGATTTATGATAATAGTAAAATCGCACAAAAATATACATATTAAATCCATTGATTAAGAATTTGACATGCAGGTGTGTCTATCATTTATTTTCTTTTTCTGCCTTCATTTTGTCCTCCTTCCTCCTTCTTCAACGTGGTGTTAAAAGTGACCTTAAAAAATGTAACTGTGATATAATAATAACAATAACAGAGTTGCAAGAAAATATTTTTGGCTTCACTTGTTCCCACTGTTCAGGTACAAATGGTACGTCTCTCTAGACTACATATCATCTAGTGGTAACAAAGGGAGAGAAATCATGAATCTAACAGATATCAGTAAGTAAATACAGATATCAACAACATCATTTGTCTTAATGTCAGTCTATTCTAATATCTTAATCCATCTTGCTTCAATGTTAGGGGAACTGTGGTAGTGCAGTGGCTACCACAAGTATGACTTAGTGGGATGTGTTCATATTTCTCTTCAGATTTAGATTATTTCATTTATCTGTGCTCACTAAAATAGATACAGGAAAGTTTCTCAGAAGTGAACTGTAAAATAATACTCATCCACTTGTGGGATGCCATGTTTCGTTATTTGAAGCCCCATTCTGGCTTTTGCCGGAGGCCCTGAATATACTGGGCCACAAATGTGGCCATAACGGCCACAGAAAGGGGTTTCTGGTACCTCTTCATGGGTGATCCTCATCTGCATGGTGGTACTTAATGTCACCGAGTGTTTATTACTTGTATGATGTCCTGGTGGGGTACATTAAGCAAGCAAGCAACACTATAACGTTATAACTCTCTGTTCCCATGGGAGACACAATTCTTTGTCATTTTAAAGCTCCACCCCAGCTGCGGTCAGGCCCTAATTAAAATCCGATGGGGAACCTGTCCCTGGGTGATCCTCATTCCAATGGTGACATTTTGTGTCACTGACTGTTCGGTGTGATAAAACATCAGTCAGTCAAGGTGACAACATGTTAAAGAGAGCGGTGATGGGAGTACAGTTTCTGAAAAATGAGGCTGAGGAAGACTTCAGTGTAGTGGATACAGGATACTGAATATGCTCTGGCTATGAAAGCACATAGAGCTAGAGAAATGGCGAGAGAAAAAGAGACTTTCAAGCTTGTCATGATAAGAGCGATGCTCTGTAAATGGTCTGCTGATTGGTGATAAAAGGTTGCAAGGACTCTGAAGAAAACCAAATAAATTCCAGGGAACCTACAGGTGAGGCGGCAGCCATGGTGGCGCTGTGTTTAGTGCAATTACCTGCTGAGTTAGTGGTCTGGGTTCAACATTTCCAAAATCAGGATTGCGTTATTTTTAATCATTATGGCTCTGGGGTTGACCCAGGCTGTTATAAATGGGTACCAGATCATTTTCTGTGAGTGAAAACTTATAAGGGAATGAGTTTTGCCACCCTACCTATGGGGAAGCTGCCGTAGTGTAGCAGACGCTCACGTATGGATCTGAAGATTTGTTGGTTCTGATCCAAAGGAAGCCTGACTTTTTTGTCTCCAGAAATGATGTTAGCTCCAGTGTCAGCCCAGCCTTAAAAGGGAACAGGTAAAGAAATGCAAATTAATGGCGGCTGACATGATTTTGACCAAATCACCCACCAAGTGCTGACTGGCCTATCAAATAAGGGATAGCCCTATATGCCCCAGTAGGCCTGAAGGTGTGAAAAAGGGTTGGTCCTTTACTTTACCTTCTGAGTGATCTCAAGGTGTGGTGTCCGCCTCGTGCTTGAGGTCCCGGGTTCAAGCCCCCGGTGGAGGTTGGGATTTTTCACGTGGACTTCTAGTAAATTACTCTGGTCCCTGGGTAGTAAGAATGGATGCCTGTGTGTATTGCTGCACATGTAAAAAATTCCTTGGCAGTTGAAAATCGAAAAAAGTAGCTTAGGCAAAATTTGAAGTTACAAATCTAACCAAAGTATTTTAGGTTTGTTGCTGGTGCAACAGAGTTTGTGTTCTGCACTGAGATTCTTCAGACACAGGCTTGAGTTAGAAGTAGAATGGAGCACTTAAGGATTACTACCCATGTGCCATGATGTTAATCCGTCAAATAAATGAATAATCATAAACTTTACTTTGTCATGACCTAGAAAATATGAATGTCTAACACTTTACACAGTGACAGTAATTCAGTCAGGCAGGTGACGTCTCCACACTGGAGATTGGCTGCAATAAAATCTCCAACATGCTCCACTAATTGCCCTCTCTTAAGCCGCTGTTTAGACATTTCTTGCCGTTTTCTTCCCACGTGTATTACTACCTACCTTTTGCTCACTTGCCTTCAACATTTTCCTTGTGTATAGTTTTTTTTTTTTATTAGAGAGTTTTACACATTTTAACAAGGCTGAAATATTTGGTTTGTCTATTTTTTTATTTTCAGTTAGCTAATAATGGTGGTAGTTGCTTTTAGACTATGTTGGCTGAGATTCACAGAAAGTGTACACATAAAATCATATCATTTAAACTGATTAAAGTATAAATAATTAGGTCCTTTACTTTTTTGTTCACCCCATATGGGGCTTTGAAATTTCGTGGGGGGAAGTTCCAATAAAGTCTAACATTTAGGGGTATTTAGGTGCAAAATAAACATTAACTAACACTAACCCTCACCCTAAACCTCCTACCCAATAAATATGGATTTTCCCAGAAGCTCCACAAGGAGTCTCAGTGTCCCCAGAATGGGGTGAACAAAAAGACAAGCACCAATAATTATTTTGTTGAGATATACAAATAAATTATTCAGTGACTGAACTAATTATAATTAACACCAACAGGTTTTTCTGAATCTCTTGGCTTAAGCCAGCCTGGCAGCTGGATCAAATTTAATTATGAACAGCAAGGCTTTTACCGAGTCCTGTATCCAGATGAAGTGTGGCTGGCTTTTTCTGATTATTTGTTGACAACCAATTCTACTGTAAGTTATGTTCTTATTTTTTTATCTTTTGCCTTTGATTGACCAAGTTGCACTCCAGCTTTCTACTGAAGTTATCCCCCACACACTTTATCGGCAGTACTGAAAATGTATTGGATTCATTCATAAAGAATAGGAGACCAGTTTTTAATGACAAAGAATTCATATCAATGCTTGATGTTGATAGTTTTACCTTTTGAATGCTGATTGATCTGTAGAAAGTTAGTTGAGAGGATCAACTTTACTCAACCAGATAATTCAGTATAGCTTAGTCTCTGATCAGAGAATAGCTAGCCACCATCTGAGAGCATTACACATAGCACAAACTCCATATATCCAGTGATAATTTCTAGGAATATTTGTAAAAACTGCACTACGGAACTAAAAGACATGTCACTGAAATGACTCCATGACCTTTAAAGTGCAAAGCAAACGACTTGACTGTTTTGTCACATGTGGGTATGGTATCCATATGTCCAATCTGCCAATGGTGTGAAAAAGGTTTTTAAAACATTTCATTTTTCTGTATTCTAATCTGCAGATTGTTTTACAGAAGTTAGATGCTTAGTAGAAGCCAAATCATCCTTGTTTTTTAAAGCCACTATAGAAGACTTGGGTATAACTTTTGTTCAGTGGCTAGATTGAGTTTTACTTACTAGCTTCAGAAGTCAGGTCTTGGTCAGATATGACTGAGCTACCTTATAACAGTAATCAGCACTACTGTTCTCTGTTAGCACAAATTTTGGGCAACATATATCAAACTTTACATCCCACACTGTGCCAGCTCCTTTGGGCAGGGGAGTGGATTTGGGAGGATAATAACCTTGTCCTAGCATGAAGAAAGGCAACATAACAACTTAATATTATAGCAAGACAGACCAGGTCCTAGGCCTTAGTTGGCCCTGGTGTAGGAGGGAAACTGCTACAAACAGACCACTGCTTCCTGATCCACCAGCTCCTGTAGCATGCTTTGTTCCAGCTGTATTGTTTTTACCTTTCCTATAGTGTTAACAAAGTGGGCAGAGAGATTGATTATGCTGTGTGGGCATGGTCTCTATAATACTTCCTGCTTTGTGCTACTTACAGACATACAGAGCACTGCTTGTCTAAACCATCAGCTTCTGCAGCATGCTTGCTTCAAAACCTTTCCTGTTACCTTTCCTTTTGAGTAAACAAGGCAGGGTAAGAGAATGATCATGCTGCAACACATGAACTCTATAATACTTCCTGTATTAATGCTACTGACAGACATACAGAGCACTTTATTTAAATTCTGGAATATGCGGGCGTTGATGAAAATGAAAGAGCTGATAGGCTGGCTGGATCCACCATCCCATCAACCTATGGATCATTCTGATATTATTAATGCCCTATGAGAAATGGAAAGGGTGGAAGACTTTGGGAGCAGTGAATCCACATCACCCACCAGCATCATATGATAGACGTGGGAGTTAAATTGGCGTAGCAAAAAAAAAAAAAAAAATTAACGAGATGCGCACCAGGCACATCAGAGGACTTGTTAATCAACATAGAACGGGTACTATTAGCCACAGAACGTTGGGGTTCATACTGAGGGAAGGATCTGAGCACCTATGGACATGTCCAGGTGTGCAATGATGATAACCCAACCAACCAACTAACACAGAACACTGCTTATCTGTGTTGTGAATGTGTTTCATAATTCCAAAGTATCCAATTCAATTTCAGCTGCAGGTAGTTGGGCAGCAGACCCATTTGTCTTGTTTTTGACAATGGTATTGAGTGCTGCCCTTTCAGAGGCAAAGGTAAACTACTGAATGTAAAAATTGCCTAAACCCCCCCCCCCCCCCCCCCCCCCCCCCCCCCCCCCAATGCCTCTAGTGGAGGCAGAGGTTTTGAAAATTAGGAACATTTTACATGATATTAAATTCAATCAGGCTTTTTTTTCTGGGTATACACCATATACACATATGTTGTTCTCTTAATTTTTAGCTTTTAATTTTTTTTTTTAATTTAAAAACAACATTAATACATCATATTTTTAGGAAAACAGTATACCCACCTATTAAAAACCCTGCATTTTATTGTGTTTCAAACAGTATATATGTGTGTGTGTGTTTGTGTGGGGGGGGGAGGAGGGGGGTGCGTGTGTTTGTGTGTGTCACCTTGGAGTTGGAAATGTGCAGCTAATAAAAGTATTCTCTAATTTCACAACAGGGTTGGGGTTTGTCGGTGCCAGATCGTGCTGGACTACTCAGTGATGCCTTTTCTATGGCAGCTGCAGGACTAGTATCCTACAAGATCCCCCTTGGACTGATGTCGTATCTATACAAGGAAATGGAATTTATTCCATGGTCAGCTGCACTAGATAGTGGAATATATTACATTACCAATATGCTAAAGACAGATCCAGAATTTGGCCTCTGGAAGGTGTGTAATTTTTTTCTTCTTCTTCTTTGCGTTCAGTTTCGTATGCTCAGATCAAACCATCAGGTGCGTTGCCTCTATGACCTCACATGTCAGCGGCAGGTCGTTCATGGTTCCCTATAGCTTTGCTCTTCAGGCCAGGTGTCTTTTCGGTGTGTAATTTATATATATATTGTTTTTACTGTAGCCTACTTTGGTGACTTAAAGGTCCCTTTGCACACCAGTGAGCTAATCTCATATTTGTATAGACCTGATGGATGATGATGTCAAAATCATGCTGTTTGATGGCTTAAGAAAGGTGTAAATTACTTAGAGATATGACATCTGCATGCAAATATCTAGCCACTGCAGCTACCCATGACACCATCGTTTTATACATATTTATTTTTGTCTTTCCATTTACCTCTATTAATGGCTGCCTCTTTACAGTTCTTGATTCCAAGTGTTTGTAAGTCTACTAGGAGAAATCTCTCCCCCACCGTCTTGGTCTGCATTTGGTCTACTGCCATGCAACTGGTTTGTGTTAGTAGTTTTTGTTTGTTTGAAATCTGACATTCTCTTGATATGGCCCAGTCAATGCAGTTTGTTAAACCTTATTATGCTAGTAATTAGTGGTAATTTGAACAAATTATGAATTTCATTGTTGCTTCTCCTCACCATTTTCCACTGTTGACTGACAACTTAAAAACATCAGCCCATCATTAGTTACCTCTTTTAAACCTGTACAATAACACTTTTTATAGTAAAGTTTTATTTATTAGAGTAACCATCTTTGAGCCTTGTGCTGTAAAAGTAATAAAAATATGAGTTGGAAAAAGTTACAGTGCCAGTCATGCTAAAACAAACTGAGATAACATAAGAATGGGACATAAGGTGCTTAGGAAATGTTTACCAGTTGTTAGTCAAAGTTCCAAATCGCTGATGATGGATCGCCCCATAACTCCACAGTTCCTCTGCTTGAAAATGCACAAAATGTCCTTCATGGTCCTATTTGAAACATAATGAAAAATGTTTCAGTCAAAGTAAAAATAAATAAGACCGCTGACAGTCCCACACCAGAATTGCAGCTCACTGTTAGTGCTAACGGTCAATCATGAAAGTCGACATTGCACTCTCATAAAAGTACACGCCATTCTGAATGTAATGGGCTACCTGCCATTTTAGTACAGTGTAGAGTATTAACTCTTTAAATGAGTTGCCTTTCATTGAAAGTGTTGATGTTTACTACATTCACCCTTATGTACAATTAGTTTTGTAATTCATAGATTTGAAGGAAGCTAAAACCTGCCTTTAAATCTGAGACAAATATTAACTGATATCACAAAAATAAAGGCTGTAGAATTGCCTAGCCTGACAATCAGATAATAATTAAGGCTTTTAATGTTAAAAGCAGCCACAATTAAAAAAAAAAAATCAACGAGGTGGTAAATGACGCTGTCTAAATGGACTACTCAGTGATGCCTTCTCTATGGCAGCTGCAGGACTTATATCCTACAAGATCCCTTTTGGATTGATGTCGTATCTTTACAAAGAAATAAAATTTATTCCATTAAACACACAAAAAGTTTTTAATCCAGATGACTATTGACTTTTTCCTATTTACCTGGGCTCCCAAATCTACCCAGCCTAAAATGAGTACCAACAATTACCTGTGACATCATCACAGTTGGCTGAGCACATTGGCCAGTGAGTGCGGACTGGTCTGTAATTTTAGGCTAGTATCATGTATACAATGATTTTGATTCCATCATCCACCAAGGGTTGATTGAACGATACAAATATAAGTCTATTGTAGAATGCCTGATATGCCACTGGTGTATAAAGGGCCCTTAAAGCATGTGCCCCCAACACTTCATGATGTGCAGTAGTTTGCCTTTACCTGCTTTAAAAAACAGTTATGTACTGTCTTCACGATGAAGGTTGGTTACTGTGTAATACTGCTGTCTTTTCAGGGGCCTGAGTGGCCTTGATTTATGGTGTCCGCCCCAAGTGCTGGAGGTTCCAGGTTCAAGCCCCAGTGGAGGGTGGGATTTTTTCACGTGGACTTCTAGTAATTTACTCTGGTCCATGGGTAGTAAGATCGGACGCCCGTGGGTATTCTTGCACGCGTATAAAAATCCCTTGGCAGTTGGAAATCGAAAAGAGCAGACTAACGGTGTTGCCCAGGCAAAATTTTGAGTTAAAAATCTTCCCAAAATATTTCAGGATCCTCACCGGTCCAACAGAGTTTGTGCACTGCGCTGAGATTCTTCAGACTCAGGCTTGAGTTATAAGTAGAATAGAGCATGATGTTGATCCGTAGAATAAACAAACAAATAAACTGCTGTCTTTGGGAATATTACGAGATCTAACCGCAATCTCTTCTATGGTACCACTCTTGTAAAACCACAAAAACTGTTTTTTTCAACTGTCCATTGTGGGAATTGAACCCTAGTAGTCGAGAATCATGGAATCGTTAGACACACCCACTAATATCTAACACATACATCAAACGCTGCATTTTACTTACATCAGGATTAAAAAATTTTAATTCTTATATGCAAATATGTGTGTATATAAGTCATTTATAGGCATTTACCCTCTTATGAATTTTTTTATACCTTGTAGTTTGTGTTGTTTTCTTTAGCATGTCCACAGAAATAAATTAACTGCTTTCATCTTGCAGAAATTTGTAGGTAGCAGACTTCTACATAACTTGCAAAATCTGAGCTACACTGATGCAGGCTCACACAATCAGAGGTTTGGTCTTCTCCTCGTGTTCTTATTTATTTTTAAATAAAGTTCTTGATATTCTAGCTTATTATAATTTGATACTGTTAAATGTAAGATATGACAGTTTGTGAAGTTATTTTTTATAACAGTAATAGAAATTGGTTTTAAACTGCTTAGAAATTGGTTTTAAACTGCCAAGTCCTCATGTGGGTTTCAGGGCCCCATTTTAGAGAGAAAAAGAATAAACTCACTGTCTGCCTAATTAGCATGCTGTAAAAGGCTACTGATTAGTGGTTGGTTTTCTGTCAAAGTGGAGTGCATCTACCTGAGAGGCAAGGAGCCAGCTATCTTCATAAGTAAGCCAGACCAGTAAAACAGATGCACGCACCCAAACTCTGAAACAAGACTTAAGTCCAGTAGTGAACAAAGAGACAGAACTTTTTGTTGTAATGTGCAGCCAGTGAACACGAAGGAGAAGAAGAAGCCATGCTAAGTGAAGGTAGATCAAAGGTTAAAAAAACATAAATACTAAATATAACTTGTATTTAATCTTAATTATCAGTCCATGATTAGGCATTTTTTTTACAGCAAAACGTCTGCAAAGAAGGCGAGGGAAGACCAAGAAAGAGATGTATAAATGATGTAGCTAAAACCTGCAAAAAAAAGATAAACAAATCCATCACCCAAACCACCTAAGAAGCGCAAGATAGAAACCCTATGACACTGAGCTACAACCTGGTATCCGTGAGATGACAAAAGAAGAAGAAGATGAGATATTGAGGATTGTTTGTTTGTAGCTGTTTGGAGACTTTAAATTTGCTTTTTGAAGGACACTGTAATTTCAGAAAAGGAATAATCTAATTTGGGCTGTACATGTGGCATCTGGTACATCGTCTCATCAGAAGAGAAAAAAAATAAGAAGAAAACTTAGGTACATATGCAATAAAGGTGATTCTTTAGAAACTGATGTCAATTTTGTTGTCTACAGGAAACTGCTGGCCAAGCTTATGCAAGCAGCTGGGGAAGTGGAGGAACCACACACTGTAGACAAGTTTAGGGATCTTTTTCATGGTTGGCTGGAATTAAATACATCGTGAGTTTGCTTCAGAAACTACCCATGTTTCATGCTTGATATTTATTGTAAACTGTGTTTAGGGTATCCATTGCTGGTGACACTGATTCGGTATGAGGTAAACAAAGGTTGTGGGTGGCACTGAATATGTAGGGAAAAAAGATAGACAGACTTTATATAGGGCTGACACTACTTGCCTGTCACTGTAAGGTCTTGGTTTGAACTGTAAATGAGGCAGATGCTTATAATTGTTCTTGGGTTCTTGTTAAACCAAGACCAAAAGGAGTACCAGAAAATGTTCTTGGAAGTAAAGATAACCGGTATAATGTTGACCACATCATTCACATATAGCGGAAGTAAAGATAACCAGTATGCTGTTGATGACATCATTCACACATAGTGGGAGTAAAGATAACTGGTTGGATGTTGACCACATCATTCACACATAGTGAGAGTAAAGATAACGGTATGATGTTGACCACATCATTCACACATAGTGAGAGTAAAGATAACTGGTATGATGTTCAAAACATCATTCACATACAGTGGGAGTAAAGATAACTGGTTGGATGTTGACCACATCATTCACACATATAGCAGGAGTAAAGAAAACTGGTATGATGTTGACCACATCATTCACACATAGCGGGAGTAAAGATAACTGGTGTGATGTTGACCACATCATTCACACATAGTGGGAGTAAAGACAACCAGAATGATATTCACCACAATGATGTCATTTCTTAAATCGTTCATTAATTCTATACACTGTGTTTCACATTATACATTCTCTTTTCCAAGAAACATCAGACAACATACCTCTATGATAGTTTCTGCTTTGAGGTTTCCTTCACCTATGTACTGGATTTTAGAAAGATGTTTCTTTAATTTTGTTGTCATAGGCTGCCTAATGAAGAATTACAATTAATGTTTTTCTTTTCCTAGAAGAAGACTAAAAAAAAAAAAAGAAAGAAAATAAGACAAACAAAAGTACTGAAAGATTGACAGAAGAACGCAATAGAGAATCAGGATACAGCAGAAGAGAAAGGAAAAAAAAGAATGAGAATGAAGGGATGAAGAGCTAAAGAGAAGGTTGAAGAAAAGTTATTATAGGAGAACAATGTAGAGGTGGAAGAACAATGAGAAAAAGGATGAATTGGGGAAAAAATAATGGAGAAGATGAGGAAGAGAATGAGAGAGCAAAAAGAAGGCAAAAGGATGTGGAGGATAAATGAGGGAAGAAAGAAATGGAGAAGAGCAAGGAAGAATAGGACGATGAAGAAAATTCGAAATATTTTTTCCTAAAATAAAAAGGAGGAAAAGAATGCTGGATATAATTCTATAATAAAAATGTGTTATTTACTGTTGTTTGCAAACATCACTGTGGATTCATACTTGGTAACTGATTGTTTGTTTTTTCTGGTGGTACACATTGGCACGCAGCGTCCGTGGCTTAGACGTTGGGAATCTGATTCGTAATTTCAACATACCATGATCGAAACCCACTGCTGGCTGCGTGGATTTTTATCATGTTATGGGGCGTCACAGGTTGACCCAGTCTTAAATGGGTACCAAAGTATATCCTGGGGAAGAAAAAGAGTAAGAAGAAGAAAAAAAAAGAAGAAGAAGAAGAAGAAGAAGAAGAGGATATCATTGTTTACACTGCTACTACTACTTTGTGATGACTATCAACAAGTTTTTTTGGGATACCTTATGGTGACTACCAGAACCTTTGTTTCTAGAAAGAAAAAAAAGCCCTGACAGTGACAACTTTTTGTTGTGTATTTTTTTTTTTTTTTTTTTGGGTGTGTGTGTTTTTTTAATGCACTGTGAAGAAACCCATTGTTTTTGCAGTTTCTGAAGGTCCAAGCAAGTTGAAGAGTTTGAATGAGCAAGTCATTGAAAAGCTGAGTCATGACTATCATGTCTGAAAGATAATGATTACCTTTACTTCTCAGGACCAACCCCACTGTTTTGCATAGTAGAAGGTAGTTGTGTAAATATTTTTAAAAAATTTGACAGAATTCGGCTAAACATCATATAACATAGATACCGTTGACTGACATAACTCTTTCAGTGCCCAGACTATTGCAACTTTAAAGTAATGATGTTTGAGTTATAAGAAGTTAAAATAATACAAGCATCAGACAGAAGGACTCAAAGTAAGAAATGTTAAAATCCTAAAGAATTAAAACATCATGGTAGTAGTATTAATTTACACAACAATTTCCTACTCAACCCACTCAGCTTATAAATGGGATGTATAGAGTTTTGTCTATTCCAATAATAGATCTTTATGCCTATCAATTATGACTGGTTTTTCAGTATTTCACATTGTAATATTGCATTATTTAAATTGTATATGATTGTAGGAGTATCATCTTCTTAAAGTCTATGCCATGTGGCTTGATAGTCATGTCTATCCACAATCTTTTGTCTCTTTTACTTTCGATTAACTCTGACACAGATGATCTTCCATGCCATGATGTCAAACTGTCCAGCATCTGTTCTCTCAGTCTCCCTCTGTCCCTCCTCCCCTCCAACTTTCCTACCATCCCGATGTACTCCAGTTTTTTCTTTCTCATCAAAGGACCAAAGAATGTCGATTTTGTTTTTGTTTTTTTGGTAGGAGTATGAGAATGGAAAAATCCATGAAATAAATAATTCAACTAATGCAGCTTAGTTTGTTTGACATTATTCCTGTTTCACTATACTTGAATATTTGATCTGCCAGGATTTCTGTGAATTTGCGTTCAACAGTCTACAAATATGGGATGTACTACAGTGGTTCAGATTCAGACTGGGAAACAATCTGGGCCAAATACAGAGTGGAATCATCACCCCAAGAGAAAGAGCTTCTAGCTCTGTCTTTGGCAAACACAAAACAGCCCCATCTAATTGCAAAGTTAGTATTCTACTTTAGCTGTTATCATTGCCAAATGTTATATTTTTTCCAAACTGCAGTGATGAATTATATTTTGTGAGTGTTCGGGCCTTTCTCTTCTTTTTTTGTGGTATCCCTAAACAGGGATTTGACACATGGTTTTATTGTTCACAGCTAGAATGTGACATCTACACCCTTTTGACTGAATGCATCTTTTTCAGCTAATTAGTCACTTTTCTTTTTTTATGACATGCTTGTTAAGGCACATTCAGTCTGTATTGGACCCCCCCCCCCCCCCCCCCCCCCCCCTTTCCCGAAATATGGCAGCAGAACCTTCATGGATTCAGTTCAGTTTGGCGGATTCTGTTACATAAAAACTGTTCAAATGCTCAGGACATTATAGCATCATGTGCCACATAGTATTGCTGCCCTCAGATGCAGTTTTGTTTTACTAAGACCAGCACTTGACAAACTATCAAAGTGGCTTGCTGTCAAGTCTGGGGTGTCACTTAAACAAATGTTTATGGGTGTGCCTTGACTTCTTCATAATAAAGAGCAGATCTGTTTAGCAGCATCTTATGATGCAAGTACTTCTATATAAACTCATGCTTTACAAGTCTTTGATGGGAATCGCCATAGCTCTCATGTGGATCGGAAAGTCGTGGGTTTGCTCCCTGCAAGGAGCCAGACTTTAAAAAAAAATTTACCTTGACTCCAAGGTCGACCCAGCCTTGACTGGATACGGGGTCCATTTCCGGGAAGTAAAGGCGGCCAGCGGGATGGTGACCACATCACCCATCTTGTGCTGATTAGTCCTATACGCCTAAAGGCGTGGAAAAGGGGCCTTTACTTTACTTTACAAGTCTTTGCAACTGCTTCAGGAAGGTAAAATCTGCCTCACACAAGTGACTCTGCAAGATAAGCCATGGGGCAGAGATGAATACCTCGAGCACACTATTCTTTTTGTGATACACAGCACAAATTCCATCACCGAAGAAGAAAGGCAAGGTTTAAAATAAGAAGCAAAGAGACCAAATGAAAAATTTGAGAACACGAGTCAAATGCTTCAAATCAACAATATTTATACAAGTATTTTCTTTACTGAAAAGAGCTGCCTTATATGAACTTTCTCTTCGTCCTGATGTGGGATACATTTATTCTGAAAGTCTCACCCTGGCTGTTGTCAGAGGCCCTAACATAATGGTTGAATGGGGTTTCTGGGACTTGCACTTGGAGAATTCTCATCTAAATGGTATACTTTGTGTCATCAGGTGTTAGTCACTCATTATGCTGTCCTTGTGGGGTTGAACATCACTAAAACAGTTGTCTTCATGAATATATGTTTATTTGCCAGACTGCTTAACCATGCCAAGAATGAAGATGGAATTAAAATTCAAGATTTCTTTACTACTGTGAGTAATGTTGGAAGCAACATAGCAGCTGCTGGGATTGTTTGGGACTGGGCTCGAGAAAACTACCAGGTTTTTATAAACAGGTAAGCAAATAGTTACTAAGAGACTATAAATGTTAGAACATAACATGATGATGAAGTGGTTACTAGTTCTTTTATCCATATTTTTTAACCCCAACTTTGAAACTGAAGAAAACCACCACCCTAGGGTCAGGCAGGAGCATAGCATCCTTTTTCTTACTGTTATAATCTAAGGAGCATATTCATACATGTTTTCTGTCTGGAAACAGGCAACAGTAAAGTAAAGTAAAGTAGGCGCATCGGGCATATGGGAAGAGCACCCATATTTTTACAGACCAATCGGCACTTGGTGGGTAATGGGGTCAGCATTACGCCGATCAGGCAGCAGTATGGCATCCTTTTTCTTACCGTTATAATCTACAGAACGTATCCTTATAAGTTTTCTGTCTAGGATCAGGCAGGACAAGCATCCTTTTGCTTATTATGATAATCTAAGGAGCGTATACATATGTTTTCTGTCTAGGAACAGGCAGGAGTATGGCATTCTTTTGCTTATTTATTCAGTTTGTACAGTGAAATAATAATGAGTTCGATACATGGTATGCCAGGAATACCGTTTGGTGGGTGTATTTTTAAGAACCTGTGATTTGCTGATGATATAGTTTTTATCATCAAAAATAAAACATAAAAATTTCAAGAAATGATGTATTTAATTGAAACAGAAAGTGAAAACAAGGGTCTTAGTTTGAACAGCAGAAAAGCAGAATTAATGGTAATTACAGGAAAACTGATCCTGCAAAATGCATTTTTAAAGTAAATGGGACAAACCTCAAGCAAGTTGGGCACCCTGATAACATCAGATGGAAGATGCATTAAAGAAGCTGAATGTAGAATAGCTCAAGCAAAGGCAGCACTTTACAAAAGCAGAGTATTTCATGCAATCTTTCTTTGTCAATTGAGTTGAGAAAAAAAATTCTTAAAAACTATATAAATCCTATCTTGATAGACAGAAGTAAATCATGGACAGTTGTTAGATTCGTAAAAAATTGTTTCGAAGCTGCGGAGATGTGGTTTTATAGACAAATGATGAGGATACCCTGAACAGATAAAAAAAAAAAAAGTGATGAAGATGTGTCTACATCAGAAAGAGACAATTAACATTCATTGATCATGTGATGAGGAAAAAATTGGAGTACATCGTGACAATAGGAAAGTTAGAGGGAAAGAGAGACAGAAGGAAACCCGAGAGAAAAGATGTTGGACTGTTTGACATCATGGCATAGATAATGTGTATCAGAGTTGTACACGAGACAGATTGTTGTGGATAGACATGACAACTAACACCACATGGTATGGGCTTTTAGAAGAAGTCTTCCATTGTTGTTGAATGGTTAGCTCTCGGTACCACTGTCAAAACCAACACAAGATGTTCTGCAGACACATCGCCTGCAGCTGGGATTGAACCCAACACCCTGGCATTACAATGCTCATTTGCAGTGCCTACGCCACAGATGCCGACTGCAGACATTGTAACTGTGCTATGTTATCTACAAATAATATAGTTGTAGACACATATTTATGTAGAAGTTAACTTTTCACAAAGTATAAATCAAAAGTATACATTATAACTGTTATATTATTTCCAGATTCACAGTCGCGGACAGAAATTTTGGACGCATGATTTACCTAATGGTTAGAAACTATAAAACAGAGTTTAAGCTTCAAGAGGTTTGTTGAAATCTGTTATAGTATTTTCTTATTCCTTGTTTCTAAATCAGCTCTTTCAGCCCCAAACAATCCATAATTTGTAACAGGCTCTTTAACCTGCCCAGCCATTGTTCAGTAACTTCACACATTTGTTTAGAGCAGAAACTACTAAAGAAATCTGGCTTGCCAAAGTGGCCACTTTCTATATGTATTTAAAAGTAATAGACTGGTGTATTTTCATACTGGTATATGTCACTTCTTGGGCAGATGATGCAAAACCTCCTGAGACTGAAAGAGTTAATTACCACTGTTATTTTCATTATCATCATCAAGTACCTTGCTGACTGGCATGGACGATTGTGCCTCTCCACTACCTGCGATCCTCAACAGTATTGTCAGTTCATACGCTGACACCGATCCATGCCATGACAAAAGGCTATCAAGAATCTTCTCATGTTGTCTTCCATGATCTCTTTTTCCACAGATTTCCGGTGGTCACAGCATTTTCAAGTTCTTTTTTCTCATAACATGAACAAAACAATGATGACTGCCTCCTTCTGATGTTTGCGATAAGCTGGCTTTGGGTCCTTACCTTTTTCAGAATATCTGGATGGCTATTTTTGTCTATCCAAAAAATTTTTAGGGTTTTTCTGTAAAACCATATCTCCGAGGCATCAAGAAATTAATTAACTTGTTTAATAATTGTCCAGGATTCATTTTATATTATTATACTTGTAAAATATATAATTAACTTTTATAATGCAAGCGTTCTAAGTCTTACTTGATGGTTATAAACTAAGAAGCCTTTTTTTTAATGGATGATCTCTTTTTAACTTATGTGAGGTTTATTTCTTGTATTCCATATTTTCTTGTTATTTCTTCTTTACTTTTTTGTCAGTGTTGTTTTTCAACTTGACTGCAGAAAGGCACCTAACAACTGCTCCATCATGTGCCTGGTGAAATCACACAAAATGTCCGTTAGTGTTCCGTTTAAAAAATATGTCAAATTCAGCAAAATCTTGAAGCTTGCACATGCAAACTAAATGCATAAAACAACTGTCAGATGCAACAGAACCTTTGGATTCCAGGTCCAGAAATGGGGAATTTGCATCAGTCAACACTAGCTGGAAATAGTAAATGTTTCAAAGTGTCCGCAGTATGCCAGCACTCTGCCATATTGAACCGATGTCATAGATGCCAGAACCTGGGGCTTCAGGTCCTTTAAAATTTATATATATATACATACACACATGCATACAGGCACACACGCGTGCAAAACACACACACACACACACTCACCCACCCACCTACCTACCAACCTACCTAGCTCCCCTCCCCCCTCTTCCCAGAGGCAGGGATAGATGAATAAGTTTTGTTAGGGATGGTTAGGAAGGACAGACAGATAGACAGATAGAGAGAGAAGTTTTTTTTTGAATATGTGCCCTATTTTTTTAACTGACAAGAAAGTACACTAACACCTTGCCATCACAGCTCAAACTTTTCTTAAAGTGATTAAGCCAAGAGCCATAGGTTCAAACGTGATATTTGTGTAAATATTTTATATTTAAATTTCTTTCTCTCATTACGACTGTTTTTATCATACATATGTAATGTATACAATGATTTTATCTATATTAATTTTATATTCACAAGGTGAAGGACTTCTTTTCTCGCTACCCTGAAGAAGGTTCCAGTGCACGATATCGTAAAATGGCTCTGGAGTCAATAGAAAGAAATATCTTCTGGATGAAAACATATAAACCAATCATCATTGACTGGTTGAAGACGAATGCATAGATCAGTAGTTCTCAACCTTTCTAATGCGGGGGCCCTTTAATACAGTTCCTCATGTTGTAGTGACCCACAACCATACAATTATTTTCGCTGCTACTTCATAACTTCAGTGGATATGTGTTTTCCTATGGTCTTTGGCGACCCCTGTGAAAGGGTCGTTTGACCCACAGGTTGAAAACTGCTGGCATAGATGGAGATAAGAAAATGTAATATTTTCATGTTTTAGTGCGATTATGGGTTTTGTATTTTGTCAGAATTCTCCTTCAAACATCTATTTTAAGAATGGTAATACAGAAAATGATTTACTAAAATGAGGTACAATTTATGTTTTTCTGTTTATTGTCATGTTGTTATATAGATGAATAAAAGGAATGTTATGACAGGGGGAAAAAAAGTAAAACAGAAGTGTAAGAAAAACTGAGACCAAAGAAAATATTACTGAATGAGTAAAGTAAGTGAATGACCCTTTCAAGGAATAGGATGCTAGACTTATATGTTTACAGCTCAGTTATAAGCATTTGGTGAGTGCTGTGATCAACATCACACCGTCCACTTTTGCTTCACATAACATTTTCTAGTACCCATTTTAGGCTGAGTCGACCTGGGAGCTAAGGTCAATTTTGAAAATACTGTTATTTTTTCAATTTATAAGACGCCATTTATAAGTAAAATAAAAGCTTTTTATTATAAGTAAAATAAAAGCTTTTCACGCCTTAGACGCATCAGGTATATTGGAAGAGCATCCCATATTTTTACAGACCAATTAGCATTAGGTGGATAATGTAGTGCACATTCTGCCAGCCGTCTTTACTTCCCCAGAAAAGCCATCCTGGTACCCATTTGAGGCTAGGTTGAGTGTGTATGTGCAACACCCCATACCATGATAAAAATCCACGCAGCCAGCAGTGGGTTTTGATCATGGTATGTTGGAATTTCAAGTCGGACTCCCAATGCCTAAGCTACAGACGCCTGTCCATGTATAAGTTGACCATACATTTGATTTTAGCCTACAATTAGGAAATAATAATCTTAAACACATTCTGTGTATAAGATTACCCTTAATTTTAAACTTGAATAATCTGAGAAAACATACTGCCTCATACACTGAAAAATATGGTTATCTACATTTCTGAATGGGGTGGAGGTCAATCAACTGAAGCACTTTCGAATATATAAATAGACACAGCTGACTGGTGGCGGTGACAGGATCGACATCATTGCACCGAGTTCAATCCCATATGGCTCAGTCTCTCTCCACAAAACAGCTAGCTGCCTGCTGAGAGCCTCGCACAGAGCATGATCTCTGTAGCTCCAGTGATAATCCCCAGTGAACTGAACGGCGCCACCCTGAAACAAACCCACGACCTTCAGAGCAAGAAGCAAACAGCTTGACCACTTCGCCACGGAGACACTACATATGGTGTTAGCCATATATTTTTATAGACCAAGAACCACTTGATAATTGATCTGGTCAATATCTTGTTAGCTACTTCTCATGTAATTTCCCAGTATTTATTTTAAGCTGGGTCTACATAAGAGTTCAGGTTAATGTTTACAAATCAGTCTCAATGATGACTTGAATATAGGATCATCAAACCAGCAGGAAAGTGACCTAGCAACTATGCTGCCTTGATATTCATGGAAAGGCATGCAACAGGAAGATAATACAGACATCATCTATAGATTGACTAAAAGAAGCCTATAAATAGTGACCATGACGGCAGGAGTGCGGACACAAAAACTGTTCTCCACCTCTTCTTCTTCGCATTCACTAGTGAAAAGTTCTGGTTGTTCGTCGACTTTTGGACTCTAGTCTTGTTCCAGAACTTAAATTTTACATGCACTATTCGTTTTACAAATGGGGTTTATTTGTATGCAGACTGTTGGTTCCTCGCCTCTCAAGCAGATGCAATCTGATTTTGAAGGAGACTCCCATAATTAGTTACCTTTTATAACATGGTGAGGGGGGGGGGGTGGATCTATTGCACACAGGGAGTTTCTGGGTGGTGATTATGACAGATACTGTACAATGAATATATATTGATAATCTTATTAACATTGTGTTGGAATCTGCAACTTAGGGCGTGTGCACACATTTCAGTGAATAGCAATCCCATCATACCGGTGTTTGAAATCCGCTGCAGGGGATTTAATAACAGAGCTTTGCACTGATTTTGTCACATCATGAACACTTTACTTCTCAGAAAGCATACTCTGAAAAGAACATGTAACTCTTGTGCAAAAATTGTAAAGCAGTAAGAAGACTGGCAAGAAAATGTAAATATACATAGTTAAACACATTATGTTTACTCTCGCTGATGCCTGACGTTCTGAAAAAGGCTATCCTCCGAGTAACGGTCCCAAATTATGGAGGCCGAAAATATACCCTAACAGGGCATAACTCACGTGTCAGTTGCGAACTTCCGGGGAAGTTCACGCGGCGTGGATTGGGGGTAAACTAGATGGCTGGGACTCACGAGGATATAAAATTAAGGAAGCTGCAGGAGATGCGGTACTTGTCGCTCTGAGTACCAGCCATCGAGCGAGCGGCGTGGGGGATACTCTCAGCGGTGGCGGAAGTGTGCAATTTAAGTCGCCGGAAGTTCGTAATTGACACGTGAATGAGGCCCCGATAGGGTATATTTTCGGTCTCGGTAATTTAGAACCGTTATTCGGAGGATAGCCCTGAAAACTATAACTAATTTAGATTATAAAACCAGAAGAAACTATAAGGTTTCACTATGACAGTACTTACATTATTTTAATGTGATCTCTACAACTAAATTCTAGTTTTTGAATCCTTGACTTATGTATTTGGTAGTAAAAGTTCTTAATAATCTTGGAGTGTTTATTGATTTATGTGTAGGGGAGATGTAAGTCCATTATGTTACTTGAGTTTTGCGAATAGCAAACCAACATAGCAGACATCGACATCAGGTAGGGATGTGTTCAGTCATTCGCAAAGTGTTTAATAATACAGTCCATTCTTGTCTGATGAACCCACCCTGGATCTTCTTAAGCATTTTCTTCGAGTCACTAAGTATTCACGTCTGGGTAAACTCTTGAGTACCCAGCCATGCTAATGCCCTTATTACAGTCAGGTTCCTAACATTTCACACACATCTCTATGACATGATTAACCTGTTCATATTGCAGGAAGACAACTAAATGACCACTATGGTCACACGCGGAATATTTTCACGTTTCAGATCTATTCAAAACCAAAAACTGTTTTAAGTATTTTTTGGCAAACTAAAATACTCAAAATTGTAAAACTTTAAATGGTGGTACAAAGGACATTATATTGAGAAGCTCGCTTTCCTACGATATACGCCTGGCCTAATCAGAAGGAGCTGAAACCAAGGAGGAAACATCAGAAATGAAAGGGCAAGAAGAACACAGTTGACAACAGGATAGGGAATGAGCTGTCTTTCTTGGAGGAAAGAAGCATTAAGCACATAGACAGCGCAAATACCAGAAATTTAGCCACAAAAGTGGCGCAAATAAACAAGACCACAAATATAGCCGGAGACTGTTGGCAGCTTCGGCTAGCTAGAAGCAGGTTGAATGTGATTGTTTTTATTTTTTCTTAAAAGAAATTGGAATTCGTGTAGCATGGGAGCTTCATCCCCTCCTAGACAAACTTCTTCTTCTTTCGTTCGCATGAAATAAATTGTCTATATCTGCAAAGCTGTCTCTAGTATGAATTTCACTGTCTTTTGTAATTCACTAAGCGGCCCGTAAAGTTTGACTTCCACAAGTGTCTCTTTTGGCCAAAGGTTTTGCCTGAAAGCGTTGAATCTGGGACAGTCTTGAAGGATGTGATCTGTTGTTTCAGGTGCCAGTCCACAAGTACACATGGCTGATTGGCCAGTCTTAAATTTGTTGTACATGTGGGAGCGAAGTCGATTGTGCCCTGTTCTAAGGCGAAGGATAATGACTTGCTCTGGTCTGTCCATAATAACAGATGAATTTTAAAAAAGTAGCTCTTAGGCTCGCTCACACTATTTCACACAAATATAGTCCGTTAGTCAGTTACTGCTGGTGATGCTGACGCACTGCTAACTACTGCTGCTGCTGATACTATTACTACTACTACTTATGTTGCTGCTACTACTAGTCACTTTTGCTGCCACAAAATACTATTACCAACTAAATACTACTACTACTTCTACTATTACTACTACTACTACTATTACTACTACTACTGCTACTAGTACTACTACTGCTACTACTACTACTGCTGCTGCTGCTGCTATTACTACTACATGTATTACTACTACTACTACTACTACTAATACTACTGCTGCCCGAGTATCTCTGTGTTGGAAGGATATTGACATTTGCTGATGATGTTCTTGCATATAGGCAGGGGAGTAATAGGCAAGGATGAATGACTGGTGTGCAGAAACGGGTGCTCTCATCAACTCAGAAAAGGCAGCTGTTTTGTGATGCTCTCTGGACAAAAGAATCGGAAGAGCTAATGTTCCAAGCCTCACAATTATTAACAGTACCATAAAAAGAGAAAGCAAACTGAGGTACCTGGGTGTCATTTTCGATAGAAGCCCGACCTTCAGGGATCATGTGGAGGCAGTTGCGGTGAAATGCCAAAAAGGTCTCAATGCACTCAAGAATATGGCAGCAATGGGCATAGAACAACGAATGCTGTTCACAATGTTCCAGCATGTGATCCTGTCGGTGATAGATTATGGACTTGGAATGCTTACCATATCAAAGAGTCAGCTGATGAAACTTGAACGCATACAGAATGAAGCTATGCGGGTAATTCTGGGATGTACAAGAGATACCCCGGTAGTGTGTATGCGATATACGCTTGCATTGCCTATTCAATGTTTTGCAAACAAAGTCATATCTCATAGTAACTGCAGTTCTTCCTGCATGAAACCCTGGCTGAAAAGAGCAAGGTCTTGGATGGCGCAAGCTGAAGACACAGTGAAACTTTTTGCTTGATAAATTTGAGCGAGGTGAGGAGTGGGTCAAAG